TGCGTGTTGAAAACATGATCTGCCCCGCAAGACCGAGCCTCGTCTAATTGGCCATCTATAACGTCGAGGCCGATGACGAGATATCCTTTGGCTTTCGCATATTGTATTCCAAGATGACCTAGTCCTCCACAACCAATTATCGCAACCCATTGACCTCCGGGTATCCCGAGATCTGCTATCCCGTGGTAGCCTGTAACGCCAGCGCAGAATAATGGAGCGGCCTCCACAGCTGAAAGACCTGTCGGTAGAACGATAGCATTGCGATAATGTACCGCTATGTATTCTTGAAAGAAGCCATCAGCAGCATGACCAGGCATCTTGCATCCCCCAAGTTTTGTACACCACATTTGATGGATTTGGCATTCATCGCAATCGAAGCAAACATTGGTAGAAGGCAAAAACCCAACTTCGTCACCAATTTTGAAGCCCTTGCAGTCCAAGCCCACCTGGACGACAACACCAGAGGCTTCATGGCCAAGTGTGATTGGGGGAGTGTTGGGATCGGTTGGTTTGAGGCCGAGTTCGTCGGATTCGAAGTTCATAAGATCAGAGCGGCAGAGACTACTGCATAAAGTCTTGACTAAGAGTTCGAATGGCTTTGCTCTTGGCATAACAACCTCATTGACGTGGACCTTATTATCTTGCGCGTGATACTGCGCTGCTTTCATCGTCTTGGGTATATCGGGGATCGCCATGGTCGCTCTATGGATGCTGAGAGATGTCGTTGATTATGTTATCTAGGAATATACAGCTTGACTTACCACAACTTTCTTTGAGAAGACTAATCCGCTTTGTGCTTTACAAGAAAGTAAAGTTGGAGGGTCGGTCTATTTCCAGGCTTTATATTATCATATCACTATGTTTTACCTTACACTGCATTTGTCTGGATATAACACATAATCGAGTCACCGAGAATCACCGAGTGATTAGTTCCAACGAAAATTGAGAGTCCCGGACAATGCACACCGTAGTTCAATTGTCTAAGTCATTTGGAGAGGCTGTATAGAGAGTCGCTCGATTCATTTTTTGAAGGTGCATCGAGCGCTCTCCAAGGATGATCTTAGAAGTCATGTGCGGAGAATAGCCAATTTTAGGCCTATGAGATGCGGGGAATTTGGGAACCACGTCCAGTAGGATGTTCACGGGGATGTGCCATTGTTGCTGCTACGGTAATTGAAGTCCGAAGCTAGCGGAGAAGTGCTTGATGATGAATTCCGAACCGGAGCAATGATATGAATAACCAGCCTCCTAAAAAAGGAGTGTACCCTTAAATTTGCGAGGAAGAAGAGTCAATACTTAGACTACCAGCAAGAGGTGTTGGTCCAGCTTTAAGATTGTCTATTTCTTAAGAGTGCAACATGTCAACCGAGAAGCTTATCCGAATAACAACCCTCATTCCTCGCAAGAAGGGGATAACAGAGGAAGAGTTTTACAAGTACTGGACGCAGACGCATGCGCCAGTATGTGTAGACTTCATGATGAGACACGGCGTTATCGAATACCGCCAGGTGAAGAGTCACAAAGCATAATCTGAACACATCAACTAATGGATTGTCATTAGTATCATACTCCGCCAGAGACCAAAGCTCTAGGAGAGGCAATGGCGAAAGCCGCAGGACGTCCAATGCTTAGCTACGATGGCATGAGTGACGCGTATGTTAAAGATTTCAAGACTTTCGAGGACGCATTCAAAGACCCAGAGTATTTGGAGAAGATTCGACCCGACGAATTAGCTTTCATTGACGTTGATAATCTACAAATGACGATTGGATATGATTATGGAGTTGTAGAGAGCGGGAAGAAAGTCACGGAGCATGCTAGGTCGTTCAAATAAAGTGCTTGGGGCCGAATTCAAAGCATGGTAATCAATTATGTGTCGAATATAACCAACAATAGACATAATACAGGAAGATGCTATGCCCTTGGCCTTCCCGCTTGTGATATATTACTTTGTTAGCCATTTGTCGTCGAATTCAGAAGTAGTCATCACCATTGAAATGACGGGTGATAGGGTTCTGTTATATGTTAACATTATTATACATCATGTTCTCCATCTTCCCAAGCCCCGCGAAAGTTTAGAACACTTTCTGTCAGCGCGGCATCTATCCTTCCGTTATTACCTATTCCTGCTCTGTTTAGGTCTTCGACTCCAGACATGGGTATAGGAAAATACTCAAAGAATCCCAAGTTCATAGGTATAGTTGACGTGTCATACGTGCCAAAATCGGCCCAGACGTCATCCCTTATCATCGTGGAAAGATCTGAAGGAAATGGAAACTCTGATGCGCTCGATGGCCATTGCCCGCCCGTTTGTTGTGACCACGAAGGAGGCGAGACTGACTGTGCCAGATCTGAAGTACTAATCGAGAATGCTTGCGCATTCTGAGGATCCAATATAATTGGTAGGTTAGGGGGCTGCTCTGGGCGAAAGGCGTTGTCTTGGTGCGCTTCAGGGAATTTGTGGGAGATCTCTTGTGGAATGTCCAGAGACCTACCATGCAAAAGGTGTGTTCGATCTCGTGGAGCTAATCCAGGAGACGCCAAATCTTGCATGATAGAACGCCTACGGTCCCTCTCCTTCGTCAGATAACGCGGTCGCTTCTCGCGTCGTCTGTGAGACGCGTTCCCCATTTCCCTCTCGACGACGTCGATGGTGGCATCACAGAGCTTGACAAGAATCTCCTTTGCCCGGGCCAAGCGCTCCCATCGACCAGCAAGCCTCTCCAAAACCATCTCCCATTGGACTAGACAACTCTTGAAAGTAGTCCATTCACTTTTCGCCATTTGTCGTACCTCTGGGCGATTCCAGACTATGAATAGCATGATGATTCCGCTCATTAGCTGGTAGTGGACATCAACCCAGGACGAGTCTCCCATGCCCTTGCTGACCCGGATGAATGTCAATTGAATGGTGGTCTTGGAAGCTGAGTAGCAGGTAGACCACGATTCCTGATTACCAAGGGTAGGTGATTTCGATACTGGTCGATGAAGAACAAGTAATGCATTCTGATACCAATATCTCCACCAATCCAGGGAATAAGTGGCCGGGTCTGAAAGATTAGCGGCATCTTCGTGCCAAAGTGACAATTCTCGTGCCATATCGGTGGTCCAGGACTCGATGCTTGAGCTGTGACTAACAGTCCGTGTTGAATCATCACTTCCAATCGGTTGTGTCCGTGACACTATCTCGCTTAGAATTCTCTGGAGTTTGATCCAATGAAGAATCTGGCATCTAGTCTTTTCCGATAGAGATCTGTCGGGAAGCTTGACATCAATTTTGGAATCGTCGACGGTGAATGGCCGACCAAGCATAGTACTAAGTGACCTGTCAAACCCATATGTGACCCAAAACAGTCTTCTTTTAAGATCGTTCTCTTCAGGTCCAGTTCCTGAAATCGCAATGGTCCGCTCCGAGTGAAACCCAAGATCAATACACATCCTCATACAGAGACCAGAAATGTACCATATAGGCGCGGATGAAGTGTTGAGAAGACATGAGAGAAGTAGTAGCAAAAGGCACTGAACTGTTCGAATGTCTTTGCTCTGCATGATGGAGCTGAGATCCGTCATGGCGTTTGCATTGAAGCTTTGAGCCAAAGTTAATGCCTCAGGATTCTCATGTGATAGATAGACTAGTGAAACCGTGAAAACAATGTTCAGCATGAAGCGAGTCCTCACATCTTCGTACAAGAGACTTTTTTCTGAATTCCGAGCATAGAAATTGGAAACCTCGGCCATGAACTGATCCTCTGTCAGGATAGGATACTGAACTTGGTGCTGGGCGAAGAAGATTTCAACGAGATTCATGGCAGTCTCGTGAGACGGTAGAGCTGCGTGTGAACTCTGAAAGCGTTGAGTTCCACTCATTGTCGATGGTGATGACCCTTGGGCACGGTCTTCTTGTCGTAAGGAATCGAAAGTGGCATGGGTTCGGCGGGCAGACTCCAAAACCGATCGAGCGAGATGCATACCTATTTCCAAAAGTAAGCATCAATATCTGTGTAATTTACCACACACATACCACTCGATACTCCCAAGAAATGAGCATCACCCCCTGCCTCCAGCTGGATCAGATCAGGATGCGCTTCTTCACTAGAATTTGTGGTTCCGGATGGTGTGGAGTGTCGTTCGACATCTCGTAATCGATCACCGGAATTCGCCGCTTGAGTGCGAAGGCTTTGCAGCTCATCTTCAAGACTTGCCAATTTGTCTTCTAAGGTAGAGATGAATTCCCGTGGGTGAGTGACTTTTGTTACAGGGTCTGTGAAATCACAAATTGAACCCGAGTTGAGGCAGGGTTGACACGCTGGGATTCCTACCGCGTGGATCAATAAGTCATGCACTTCTCAAGATCTGACAGGCCCATATACCTGTATCACATCTAGCTTTACGCTTCCGGCATCGACTGCAGGCATTGATGGTCTTCTCAGTGTAAGAGCTAGGGGTCAGAATATGCGCCATGGAAAGATGATAGAGGGGTAGCTCACGAAGGATAACTGCTCCATGTTCAGTGACAATAGCCTCAAGCTACATGTTTGGTTTCATCAGAGTCCATTGGTTTATTAGGACTTGAGCCACATGGAGTGAGTGGTGTGGAAGGGAAGCTGAAAACTGGGCAAATCGAGAATGCGGAGTGAGGGTGGCCGTCCGCCACGTTTAATAGTAGCGTGCCAACTAGGCGGCTTGGTCTTGACACGAGTGGGGCTTCCGTAGTCATCAGGCCACGACTATATACACACTTCGCGTTACCTAAGCACCATGACTACTATTATTTTTATAACTCGCGAACCCAGTTTCTTGATCATGACAATCCATAACACGGTAATTGCTTGAAAGTATTGTAGCTACAACAACGTCGTCCCATTGCTGGTGGACGACTATTATTTTCTATCTACATATTCTGATCTCCATTTGAGAGGGAGTAGCAGAGGAGCTACGGCCACTGCGCCTCTGTCAAGATCCATTGACTGGAGCATGAGAACAATCTAAGCTAGAGTGTTCTAAGCCTTACTACCTCCCTGGATGGCATCGACCTCAACATGCTCATGCTCAGCCAGCATCTGCTTTGGGGTGGCTTCGGTCTCAGAATGGACATTGAGCTTGCCAAAGTGAGAATCAAGCTCTTCCAATGTCTTCTTCTTAGTCTCTGGATAGCAGGCATATACCAGAATCGCAGCGAAGACGTTAAAAGACATGAAAATGAAATAGACCCTAGGTCCGATATTGGACACTGCGACAGGCCATACCTGACCGACAATGATAGAGCCCAAGGAAGAACCCGAGACTGAGAGACCAAGGCCCTTAGATCGAACATTGGCTGGGAAAATCTCAGACGAATAGATCCATGCGCACGGGCCGAATCCCATGCTGTCTGTTTAGTCGTTAATGAATGTCCAAAGACGTCAGACCAAACTGGAGACTTACACCCGACTGTGAAGAAAAATATGAAGAAAATGTTGCAGTAATTTGCCGATTGATTTGACTGGTTTGGATATGCCAGTTGAAGCGCGCCGTTGATCTATTGTCAAGCAATGTGAGTCATTTCAATCAGTCCATGGTAGCATGAGGGAGCTCACCATCAAGCAGAATGCCATGATAACTGCACCAATTCCCAGAGAGTGTCTTCGGCCGATTCGATCAATGAAAAACATTGCGCCAACGGTGCAGACTACTTGAACGGTTCCATCGATTCCAGAAGCCAACAAGCTGAGTTCCTTGGATGTTCCGGCGGCGATGAAATTTGTGGGCAAGTAATATCGAATTCCAGCAGCACCGCTCATCTGTTGCAGGAACGACAGTGCCCAAGCACGCCAAAGACGTGCCCAAAGTGCCTTCTCTGTCACGAAGACCTTGACAGAGTTGACGGAATGCTCCTTGTGCCAGAGAATGTTTGCATGAATCTCATCCAGCTCGGCCTGAACATCCATCAGGTTGGCGGTGCCACGCAGCTTGGTCAAAGATCTGCCAGCCTCCTCAATTTGATCATGCTCCATGAGCCATCGAGGGCTAAAATTTTTATCTATTAGCACAGCGCTTCATTGTTCCGTCTGGGGCAAATAAATTACCTTTCTGGTAAAAATGTAACTCCACCCAAGAAGATCAACGCGGGAACGAACTGCATAGCGTTTGACAGACGCCATTCCAGATCGACGCCGTTTCCGTAATTCCTGCACAGTCAACGATCAGTCAAAGAATCCATATGAATTACACATGTCATTGCCGACTCGCCATCGATGACAAAGATGGATGTGTCTAGGCTCCTGGAGTATTCTTACCAGAATGAGAAGCCATAGCCGACCCAGAAAGCCATAGAGATACTAAAAATTATTAGCATTGTCTGATCCGAAGGGATTGATATCAAGTAACCTACCCAAAGACAATTCCAACTTGATTGGCAGCAACGTAAGCGCCACGATGCTCGGCAGGTGCAATCTCACTGAGATATAATGGTACAGCAGTAGAGACTATACCGGTTCCAAGACCAGCTATAATGCGACCGACGACCATCATGGCGAGGTGGACTGCACCTGTCTGAATGGCAGCGCCAACGCAGAGAACGCACACGCCGATGAAGCCTGCCCATCTTCTTCCATACTTGTTGTTGACGGGCCCAGCGAGCAGAGAGAAACCAAAGAATTGACCGGCTGAGAAAATAGCAGTGATCAGACCGGTCTCTGCTGAAGAGGGGTTGTTGAGAGCTTTTTTAAAGCCAGGCGAGACGTAAATCGTGCTGAGAATACCAATGTCGTATCTGAACACAATTGTGTGAGCGAAAAATCTACGGATGAGGCAGGCAAAGTCTTACCCCCAAAAGATTGCTCCCATGGAAATGACGGCGCAACTAAAAATGAGCCAGCCGCTCATCTTGTGAGGGCGAGTCTTGACCAAAACTTCCGACATTGTTTCTGTGTCTTTGTCTGCTTTCAAGCAATTGTGACAATCTTTAGTTGTTTGAACCAGAACCTAAGATGGTAGGTATAGACATATCGCAACTGGGGACTAGATGACTATAAATATGTTGACTCAAGATCGGGGGTCAGTCGCTTGCCCTAGACCTTGCAGCGTCCGTCCGGTGGTGAATGACCTTGGAGTCTGCCAAATTCAATCAGGCACTCCAAAGAACCTAGATTTTCCTACTACCCCAGTGTGGGGTAATTGGCGCGCTAAACCGGGGTCTCCACGCGTTCTAACAGCGACGGAGCCACCGTCATCGTCCGCAATCACTCCACCGGCGGTTCCGTCTCGTGTGTGGAAACATTCCGCTAGTAGCTCGCTCGACGAAAAGTGGATGAGTTTTCGAAATCCAATTGTCTCAATGGGCATGCGATTCAGGGACTGGGAGTACCAGGCCAGGCTAGGAGGCTGCATGGTTGAACTAAGAAGCAATAATAAGCGAGGCGCCTGCACCTCGGCTCACGGGATCAAGGTCTTGTCTCCTATGGACTCATAGGTAATGACTATACTGCTGTTCTAATTACTCCAACAATGTCGGAGCCTACCGGAATAATGCCAGGAACAAATCCAATCCCACATTTGGCTCATCAGCGCTCCCATCGCGTGACGCCTCGAGTCAGTCTCCATACGTTTTCTACCAGCCCGAAATCTAGCCTCGTCGTTCAGCCGTCCCAACATATCACCCTACAGTTTCCCCCTGATCTGGACCCCATATGGGGCTCCCGAGGTCTTAGCGATGAAGATCGTTGCATGTCTTTCACGCCATCCCGCATAGTCCAGAACCAGTCTGGAACTGTACAATCTCTTGAACTTCTCAGTGGCAATGGTCGTGTCACCGGACTACTTGGGCTTCCGCGTCCACAAGGTCTGACTGCAGAGGTAGTCGAGATCGGTGGCGGTTTCCCACAACAGCTTCTAGATAGCAAAGATATATCCACCTGTGTTGCTGGCGGTACCGGGATAGCGGGGTTTTTAGCTATGGCTACTTCACCTTTATGGCAGTTTCATCAGAGAAGCAAGTCTTGTAGCCTTGTATGGAGTATACGTGGCGACGATTTCCCACTTGTAGAACACTTTCTAAGTTCTGGAGACCTCAATGTTAGATCATGGACGGCAATCAACATTTTTGTCACAGCTGGGGAAGATACGACTGGCTTGATAGGGGGCAAACCAACCAGTTGGTGGGATACTCACTTTGAGACCGTCCGACAACGATTCGCCCAAAATTTGACTTTCCACACCAGGAGGGTTACGGAGCAAGATTTGGCTGAATCGCAGACGGACAGTGGCATACTGTTATTTTGTGGAAGTAAATCACTACAATGGCAAGTGAGAATGTGGAAACTAGGTAGTGGACGAGTTTATTGCACCGATAGATAATGATAGCCTGCATTTCTTGCACTCTTGATTTCTTAATACATGCCAACCAAATAATAGAGAATTCGTTTAACACCATACAATGAAACTGCGCCATCTTTCATCTACTCATAAGCACGGACTTCAAATATGCCTCCAAAAACATTCTGATCGCCGTTGATCTCGAGGATCTCAACTCCAATCTTGGTCACAGGGTTAACGGGCTCTATCTCAGCCTCTCTCCTTGACAAATGATTGCCATCTTCAACAAATAGCTCCTGTTCTTCGCCCTGCTGGGACAAATCAGCAATCCTCCACTTCTTGACACAGAAAGGAATGTCTCGTTCCGGATGACCTCGTAGAACAGATTCTAAAGCATGGTCGAAATCGGTATCAAAATGAACAACCACTTTTGTCAACTTCACAGGTGAATCCCACTCCAATGTGAGCATTCGTCTTCCGTTTTCACCGGGGACCCAACAATTCGTCCTCTTGGTGGGTCGCGCCACTCCATTGCGAATGTTGCCGGCGGACCAGGCTTTCAATGGCGGGTCGAGAGTCAGGGCTAGGTTATGCCCCATAGGCCGCCTCACAGGAGTCCAGCGCTCGAAAGTGTCGACACCAATTCCGTCCGGAGGACTTTGCGTGCACTCATGCTCCACAGTCTCGAGCGCCGACACACGCGTAAGGGTCGTGCAAACTGCCACTGACTCGTTTTGCATGAAGCAAAGGAAGGCGTATTGGGTTTGTGGGTTAGAGACGCCAAAATCAATCACCAGGTCGTTTGAGCCGGGCTTGAGGTTAAACTGTGATCGTGCAAGCACTACCTCGGGAGTATAATTGTAAGGCTTGATGGATCCACGCAACTCGACGGTCAGCACCGTTTCTTCCACAGCCTGAACTGTGATGGATGCTTTTGGTACAGGTCCTGCAGCCAATGGCAGCATTTGAGCAAGACTCCTAGTGAGAACCTTTGGTGGACCGTTTGGAAGCAGCTGAGAGAGCTCGAAATCTGCCGAGCTTTTGACGGACTTCGCCTGCAAGACTAGATCCTGGGGATCTTTCAATTTGTAACCAGGAATATACTGCCCAAAGCGCATCAGATCAAGTTGAAACTTCTTCATATTCTCTTTTGTCAACAACTCAACCGGGTCGATAGCCATCTGCTTACACAGGGAAGCCGCAACACCTAGAGCATTGGAGTTGGCGCCGCATGTCGCCATAACTCGGGAAGAACCAAAGCCGACATGTGTTGCGGATATGATCCTTCCTCCGTACATCAAGTTCGGAATCTCGGAGCAAATGAAAGTGGAGAAAGGGATCTGGTAGACGCCTATTGCATGTGTCAATGGAAAGGTCTATCGTCATAAGAGGAGATGCCATGCCGCTAATTACCTTTCGAATGCCACTGGGTGCAGCCGTCAACTTCGGAAAAGACGCCATCAGCTGGATGAAGATCAATAGACCATCCTCCATACGATACAGCATCAGAATGGAAACGTTGTTCGACAATATCCTGTTGTTTGAGAATGGTAGGGCCGACTAGATACCGATCAGTAATAAGATGGCTCGTAAAGTGAACTTCACTCACTGAAACGTCTGCTTTCTCTCTTTCCCGGGATTGTGCCGACCCATTCAAGTGTCAAATTCTCGGCCTCGGGGAATCGTCCTGAGTTTTTGAAGTAGTCCCAGACACCATACACCACACTCCATAGTTCCCATTTGATCTTCTCGGTATCGTGTACTGTATCTAGGCGGCCACCGTATTCGATCCACCAAAGATTACAGCCCATCTCTTTTGTACTAAAGCTCTTGAATCTTGGAATTTCTGATTCAACGTCCTTCAAAGCGTATGAAGGGGCCACAAACTTGACTGGCCGACCGACATCCTTGGAGTAAAAATAGATTGAGTGGCCGAGAAGATGTCCGTACTCAGATGATGGGGCAAATAGTTCGCCGAATTCATCTCTCTTCTCCGCGCCGACCCTAAATGGAGCTCCGGCCAAGAATGAAAGCACGCCATCTCCGGTGCAGTCTATGAATTGTGGTGCCTTTATATTGAACTGAAGTGACGTCTGCGAAGAGAAGGCTTTGATGCTGCCAATTCTGACGCCATCTTTCTCGCAACCGATAAGGGCCGTGTTTAGAAATAATTGGATGTTGGGCTCGTCAGAGACTTTTTCCAATAAAATGGTATCTAAAATAAGAGGGTTTCCTTCAGGGTTTCGGTGCAAATTCTCGAGCAGGATCTCGTCCACGAGACCTCCTTCGCGTGCATAGCGATTGTTATTGAACATGTGAGACGTCGCACCCAGAATCCATAATCGAACCTCGCTCGAGCCATTGCCGCCCAACACTGGCCTGTCCTGAACTAGAACGACTGAGACACCATTCCGGGCTGCCGCAATGGCCGCAACTGTGCCAGCAAATCCTCCGCCACAGATGCAAAGATCAGCCTCTATGTTACGAGCCTGGAATTCACGCGACGCAGCAGCGGGCTCTTGGTGAAGTACATGGTCCGCGAGTAGTCTAGATGGCGCCATGGTGGAAAAATAAAAGCGCTAGATCAGATTCGTATGAAGTTATACTTGTCGTCAATTGAGAAGAATTGACATCGCAGTAGTCTTCAGGAGACGATTTCGAAAGACAACAATCTAAATATGATATACCCAACCGTCGGGTGCAGGAGGAGTTTTGGTATCTCCAGCAAATGCAGTGCATGATCAATCATCTTGTCTGTTTCTCCGTCAAAGTGGCGATATCAAACTGCCCGTAGTTGAACTACAACAATACGGAACCCCCGATCAGGTCTTGGCCATTTGGCACGCCTCGCCCTGGGCGGAACCACCGCCCACAATCCCCACTGCGACTTGATAGCCAGTCCTAAGCCGTTATTTCAGCCATTCTCCAAATTATCTCCGCTCAGAGTCACGCGAGGGGGTTTAGTTCGCTGTAAAGAGCGCTAAACATGGCCTTTAGTAGCGGTAGGCTGATGAACCCCTCGCTTGCCCATTAGCACACAATATTCAATGTTTCTTCACCCATTATCTGAATTCCTTAAGAAGTGGAACGCGACAGACTACCTTGTCCGTGCCAGAGAGAGGCATGAAGTGGATTCGAGACCACGTGTGAAAGTCACATACAATGGAGTCTGCCTTCTCCGGGTGTCCCGTACTACCGTGACCTCTGTCGATATGATCGGTCCGGCCGCTCGGATCAGCTGCAGCAATGGATGCCGACGCCCCAACTCGACCTCCGGCCCGTCAACAGCGGAACGTGCAGCTGCGCATCTCTCAGGTATTCTCGGCTTGCTCATTCTGCAAAGGGCGCAAGATCAAGGTGCGTATGCGCTCGTACTCTCGGATGAGATACGAAACTTATCGAGTTGATAGTGTGACGGTGTAGCCCCTTGTGGCGGCTGTACTAAGTTCAACCGTGGTGCGACATGTTCTCTCTCAACAAACAATGCACAGCATGGGCGTGATTATCCCACGTACTTACAAGAGAGAATACGGAAGCTTCAGGTTGATATCCGTCGGGCCCGCGCCGATCCCTCTGCCATTCCCTCAGGAAGCTCATCTCCGCCAGATTTCAATAACATTAGAAAGCCGCCTCATCAGACGTCTATGATCGACACTCTCATAGCGGATATCGGAGCGTTGCCAACATTGACAACTGCAGATTCACTATCCATCGCGGCTGACGGCCCATCTCTTTCCACAGTGGTTTTGGCGGCCGCGAGCCACGTGCCTCTAGCTTTGCTGACAGCCTCTGATCCAAGTACCGCTACATCCACTCATGACGCCCACCGTCTCTTGCCGAAAGAGAGCACGGGCTTACGGCTTGCTAAACACTATATCGAGCAGATATATCCGCGTCTTCCATTCTTCTCTGTCCAGGGCTTTTGGGCGCAGTTTCAATACGTTTACTCGAATCAGACAATATCTGTGCCACCAAGCCAGGATCTCTCACCACCCGAAGACCCAAACACTATACTCTCGCCAGACCGGCAAGATCCAAGTAGCACGCCTCTGAACCAGGGCTATAGCTTCTTCACAGTCCTTCTTGTTCTTGCGATCTCGACCGCCAGTCTGTCTCGTAGCACGGATAGTGTCATTACGGACCAAGCTCAACGCCTGTTCCAAGCGGCTCTGCTATTCCGCGAGTCTGCCATTTTGCCAAACACCATTGTTGGTGTGCAGTCATTGCTCTTCCTCATCCAGTTTGCGACTCTCAATCCTTCAGTCCTAGATGCTTGGTATCTCATCGGTGTTGGGATGCGTAACTGTATTGATCTTGGTCTTCACCAAGATCCACAGCCTTTGGCCTCAATCAGCGCAAGCTTGCTTGAAACTCGTCGTCGACTGTGGTGGAGCATGTACTCTTTCGACCGGTCCATGTCTCTCGGCTGTGGGCGACCAGTTGAGGTATCTGATGCTGTGATCGGGGCTGCACTGCCCTCTTTTCGAATCGAGTCTACTGCTACAGACGTAGAGGTTGAAGGATACCTTCAGCGATATCGGGTTTTGCAACTTCAATCATTGATCTATGACTGTATGAGCGAGAATCGAAGACCCGACGATGACATAGCGGCCAAGGTCAACCCTCTCATGGATAAGCTTTCTGCGTGGCGCCAGAGCAACTCACTCCAACACTCACAGAACTTGGTTGAGAGTGAGTGGCACATGGGAAGAATGTTGCTGTTCAGACCATGTCGCCTTATTCCTGAGCGAACGCCTGATGAGCTTTCTGAGCTCTGGATATCTGCTCTTGCCTTTGCTTCTATCTACCGACAGCTAGTGGAGTCGAATGGCATTTTCTACGTACAAATCGCATCGGAAAAGGTGTACTGGACAGGACTCGCAATGCTTTACAGTTACTGGCAGCTCCAGAACCTCCGCACGGACATCCGTCCTGTAGACCTTTGGCTTGCTACAAAGGATGTCACTTACATTCTTCGCGCTCTTGGTGAGCGATGGGAGGACGGCAAGATCCTTGGTGGGAGATTTGAAGAGATCAGTGCACGTGCGATTGAGATTCTAGAGAGCGATTCCAATAGCCATATCGCTGCAAGCCTGCCGCCCGAGATAGTCTCGTTCAGCGAATATGCTAGTCTAACGAGTATCTGGGCTGCTGGGGGCAGTGCAAAGGGTGTTACAGCGGGTCTCCACAATGCCGACGACGATCTTCAAGACCTCATTTCCGAGCTTATCAGAGGCTGATGTTAATAAAATTCTTTAAATAGATATAATTTTTCAAAGCTGCATTCGGCCCACAAAAATGTACTACAGGCTACTGTTTGACATGGTGTTTGGGCACAAATCGACCTGCAAACCCCATCCTTTGAAGCAGAATCACAACATCAGTGGAGTTTTCCCTTTGATCTTGGACTTACAGGTCTATAGATACGTATTCATAGTCTTGTTCATAGGGGACTCCTCTTCGGCGTGTGCGAATGGATGTCATGGTCTCTGGCATCAAGGGCTATGTTGTTTGACCTGATAGGCCATTACACCTCCTTCTCGCCAGCGTGCTCTATCATCATTGGGATCTCTTTTGTAGTACGGGAGCTATGCGGAATCGAATAAGGGGCATCGGTGTTATAGCCACTACTAATGGTTAGGATAGTGTACGTCGAGATTAGGATAAAAAGTAGGTGTAGCTCTGGGTAGAACTTACAAGATAATGTCCATTTGATCGATGGTAAGTCCCTTGGTCTCGGGTAGGAGGAAGAATGCCCAAGCGGTTGCGACCAACATCCACGAGGCAAAGAAGTACCAAGTGCCGTAGCCGAAAGAGCTGAATATATACGGCAGAGCTTTAGTAATCGGGAATTGAATAGCCCTTACGGAAGTATCATTAGCAATAGAATTTGTGGTTAATTCAACTCAACTACTCACCATTGTACCAAGGCAGCCCAGGTTCCAGACAGGTTTCGCAGTGCACCGGGGAAGATCTCTCCGGATACAATCCATGGAATGCCATTCAGTCCAAAGGACCAGAAAATGGAGTAGATCATGATCATGGCTGTGGCAGCTTGACCGCCTTTGGTAGTTGAGTCGGATAGAGTGCCACCGGCTGAGATGATGTCGGCCGGATGGCCAACTTTGACGTAGCTTCCCACAAACCAGAGACAAAGTGAACAAGCTAGTGACGACACAATAACTGGTCTTCGTCGACCAATGAGATCTACCAGGAGGATATAGAATATGAGGGACGCAACTGCCTTGACCAGACCGTATATCCCAGTGTAGAGGGCAACGTCTGAGATACCGATGGATCCAAATAGGGTAGGCGAGTAATAGTTGATAGCCGAGGCACCCGAAAGGTTCGCAAGGGTGAAGGCGCAGAAAACGAGAAAAACACGGTTTCGCATTCCTTTGCGAGAGAACTCGGCCATGGCGCCGCGGAAAAAAGCCCATGATCCACTACCATATGTTGTCGCAATAGAAGCCTCTTCTGCTAATCTGTTTCGAATCATGGCAATGTCCTCTTGTACATATGGGTGGTCTGAGGGCAAATTTCGCAAATCTTCAAGGGCTTTATACGCTTCCTCTATCTTTTCTTTGCGCATTAGCCACAGAGGTGATTCGTGGAGGAAGAAGCCGCCGATGAACAAAAGTCCGGCAGGTACCAGCTGAAATGCCATTGGTATTCTCCAGCTAATTGAAGAAGCAGTAGACATATGCTGAGTAATGCCATAATTGATCCAGAAACCAGTGACAGTTCCGATCTGGTATGCCACTTCAAACAAACCGGTCAAAATACCTCGAATCGAAGGAACCGACAATTCGGCAATGTAGCTAGGTACTGTTGCAGTGATAGCACCGCAACCAAGACCTGTGAGAACCCGTCCGGCATCTGCAAGAGCAACTTAGAACCTATCTCCCCACTCAAGTGATCGTACTCACAAATGAGGCCAAGCTGATTTGTTGCCAGTGTCATCAGAATGGCCCCGATGATGAAGACGAAGACATTGATCTGGAGTGCCCATTTCCGGCCAACCCGCTCGGTGACTAGTGGAGTGTCATTAATTTCATACAATCTAGAAGAGCAGGTTGCTAGCGTTTCGTGACTTACTAAAATAACAAAATAATGCTCCAAAGAAGGCACCCGCCTGGAAGGCTGAGGTTATATTGCTCGAGATGCTACTTGAAGTGGCCGAAGTGATCCCAAAGTCGTTTTTAAAGCTGTCACGGGCTATGGTGGTTCCAACAAAGGCAGAATCGTAACCAAATCTGCTTCGTTAGAATCGCCAAGCCTTAGTAATTGAGGGAAAGAAATACTCACAGCATGGAGCCGAATGCGATAATCAAACTTTCCGTATAGAGGCGCCAGTTATACACCTCCCGAGGGGTGGGTCTATCTTCAACAGCTCGAAGTCCGCCCATGTCGCAATGCCAACGGAAAGGTAGTAATTGGTCTACAACTCGATATGTTTCCAGAGAGACAAAATAAGGTCTACGAGGTATTCGCTCTCTTACTGCTTTGTGTTAATGGGCGGTCTTGAATTGTTCCTGGGCCACACTCCTCTTAAGTCCCCATGGGGTAACAAACACGGCCCGTTAGGTCTGGCAAGCTGGAGGGGCTACTACACGAATCTGATCCAAGATCCTCAGTCAGATGTGTTCCTCATTGGAGAGATGAGATCCACAAGAAGCTGGAGTATAGCGAGCCGATCGCTTACGCTAGCCAGGTCCTATCAAACTATTCCGATTGCCGACCAGCAGAAGTCGTGTGGGTTGCCCCAGTCTTTAGTCTAAACTTCACCTTGGAGAAGGTGGTGAAGAGTCCCAATTGAGATTTGTGATGATCAAGATCATCAGTGTATTTTATCGGTACGGTATTCCACTTGATCTAATGTTCCGAGGCGGTGTTTCTTTCTCACAAAGTCAAAAACAGTCGGGTACATGGCTTAGATCCAACCGAGGCCCCCACAAATTATTGTGATTGATTACTCAATGATGCATGCCTTCACACGATTCTCAACTAATAAGCATGGAACATACATATCGTTTAGCCATCCGCGATAGATACTTTGATAGCTTGTGTGCAAAACAACAAGCGAGTGACTGACACTGCAAGAAGGTCCATAATAGCGGCAATTTACCCAAACAGTCATTCTGAGCGGGAAGTTACTACGCAATGACCTCCACAGCCGCTAAATTGCAGTCTCCAGGAGCCACACCATCGCTTCTCGCATCCGCTAAACTGAAACTGGGTCAAACGCGGCACATCTCAAAACGTGTTTGCTACTTACTGTTCGGTGATGCAATTGATCATATTTTCAAACATCACTGAATTTTGACATGTCAGGAAGTTCAGAATTACAACTAGAAATTAGACTAAAGCAATCTCCTAGTTAGAGCTGTGCGGCGCTGGAATTCATCTAGGCGAGTCCATTATTTCGTAAGCTTCGATTGTTGTACTGCAACTTCTGGAACTCTGAGAAAGAGGGCTGATGGGCCTGAGACCAAGGCGCCATTTGCACACAAGAAATCATGTCGTCCTGGTTCCTGCGCTCCAGCTCGAGAGCTGTGAGCGCGTTGTCATGCCGTCAGGGTGTGACTGATTGTACCCAATCCAACCGACTGATAGCACATAGATGCTGGTCGCGATACTCGACAAGGTCCAGTAATGTAGCGACGCCCAAGGGACGGAGAGATCTGCCTAGCTGGCGAAATAGGTCCGCCTTGTTAGGTTTCGCTATTATGGTCCGATGCTCGTCGAAGTTTATCATTTACAATCAAAAACTGAATGTAATTGCATTAGGCTGCTGCAGCATCGAGCATAGCATATTGGAAAGCGGAACCTAGCTTTGAAGACGATGATGACTCGCACAATACACCGCCTGGCATGATTTCCTATAACGAGGTTGAGAAACACATCTCCGGGGATGATTGTTGGGTAATAATAGACGTAAGCTGGCCACCATGAAAAGTTGCTGCTGGCTCATTGTCCTAAAACATTTTATTCAGGGACATGTCTATGATGTAACAAATTTCTTGAAATTACACCCTGGGGGCAGGCAGGCTATCCTTCATCATGCCGGCAAGGACGCCAGGCGAGTACATCGACGCCGAGACAATACAGTCTGATATCTTGTGGCACTTCTAATAGGCACAACAGCAAGCTTTTCTGCCAGATTCACCCATCCGATGCCATAGGCACGCTTCCCCCAGAAGCTTGTCTAGGCCCTGTGGATCCTACTTCACTCCCGATAGACATGGAAATTCCGGATGAGAGTGCATTACGACAACAAGCTGCAAGGGAAAAGATGCCTGCAGCGGAACAAATGCTACTTCTACAAGATTTTGAGCGTTGGGCGGAGCAAGTACTTAGCGACACCGCCTGGGCCTATTACCGTAGTGCAGCAGATGAGGAGCGATGTAAGAAGATCGAGTACTATATATGGTTTAGCTCGCACATTATTAACTTCTTTCTACTGTAGCATTTGACGAAAACCGGACCGCTTTCCAAAGATACTTCTTTCGGCCTAGAGTGCTTCGGGGCGATATGACCAATGGCAGTACTGAAACGACTTTCATGGGAATTGACACCAATATGCCACTGTTCATCTCTCCTGCCGCGATGGCCAAATTGGGACATCCTCATGGTACTCACGGACAAGAGGGCGTGAGACGTGTGATTCAGAGTAAGGCCCCCATGGGCAGTCCGAAACTGAAAGTCGAGATGTTTCCAATAGCTAATTAGCTATACCTAGTCCTTCACGAAGAAATCTCAAATACCATGCGCAACATTGGTGCTGCGAACGTCGGAGAGCTAAAACCTGAAATGGTTGGCCCAGCGGGGCCATGGATAGGACCTAATCGGCCATGTTATGTGCCTCCCGCAACACCTAGAGCATAATGATAGAATTCTTCAAAGTCATCTGCGATTATCTAGATACAACCATCCCGGCTGGGAAAAAACATATACAAATGGCATGTACATTAACCCACAATTGAGGCATTCGTTTGTCTATTCATTCCCTGTAATCATGGTGAGAGAAAATAGACAAAGGTTGGTGTGGTGAAGTGGTAAGCTGATATAATAGACTTGACTGCCATTGCCGAATAGCGAAGTATGTTGCGATGCTTCATTATTAAATCACCCAGTGGCTCTCATGCCGTCAGATGTGCCTTGTCGAGTGATTATCAAAGCACTGACGAGATCTCAGTTTGTCGAAGTCGAACTCCAGGCCGCCACTGCAAGTGGATGGAGATCGGCATTCGCTTAAGCAGTGTGAAAGCCCCCATGCAACCTGTCATTCAGCCTTACAGACCAGGGTCCTTATGTCCTCCGTATTATCTCCAATAAGCTTGGTACCTTACCTTTCAAAGCCGGGGTGCTTCACTCCATCTTTTCAAAATAGCAGACCAATCACGAGGCTGTACTTCGAGGTAGGTTCAGGTCTTATTAGTATGTAGTCAGACTAGAGTAAGATACTACCATACTAGGGATTATGATTGCAAAGTTCTCAAAGAAAATCAATTGGTTCGTGATGGATCATATCACAGCATAAAGAAACATAATGCAAAAGTTGCTGGTAAGAGCCCTATATTCTCTGACTGTGGGAGTGACGTTGGTGGGCTACATGATTCATATCCAATGTGTATCACGTCTAGTAACGAATCTCGTATTCACATATGCCACAAATGTGCAACTACTCACCTGAGTTCAGAAGGATGCATCAGCGAGGCTCGGCACGGTTCTGAGCAAGTCAGCCGATGGTAGTACCGACTTTGATCGGTCGAAATGCAATCGACATATGATAATTGCTGCTTAAACATTGCCGGTAATATATAGCTTTGTTATGTCAGACCTCTAGGGAAAGTTTTTCGTCTTTTTTTGCTACATGTGTGTTCTTCGAGTTTGAGTTCCTCTTAAATGTGTCAAGATGGGATTTATTCATGCATGCATGGATGCACTCTTGTATTTGGTTACCTTCACTCCGTTCAATCCCTTCGACGAGATAGCGCAACTTCCCGTTTTTGACAATACAGAACAAATCCCATTGCAATCACCCTCGCCACCCATATATCAACCCGAGAATTCATCACCAGGTTTTACATGCCAATATCCATCATGGCCGCAGTGGGAATTTTGTCAGGGGCCAGATTCCCGAGATTGTTGGCTCCGAGATACGACATCAGCATACTCAGATTATTCGCAAATAGACATTAATACTGATTGTAGGTAAAAATGCAAATCTTGGCTTTTTCAGAAACTTAATGTTCTGCGAAGATGAAAACCCGGAGAATGTTCCACCTGGGATTATACGAGAGGTAGGTGCCTTGGCCAAATTTTCTTTTTTTTTAAAAAAAGAAAAAAATACAGAAACCAAGTGCATGACTAAGTTGATCTTCAGTACTGGTTGGTGGTTCAAGGAGACATTCCAGTATGTTATCGGCCTTACTACCTGTGTCAAGCTTTCTAACTTCCCAAGTTGTCTGCCGACGGGTTCAATAAAACAAGTGGGAAAGTATTCAATGGTACTTTCCCCGGGCCTCTTATTGAAGCCTGCTGGGGTGATGATATCGTGATTCACGTAACAAACAGATATGAGAACAACGGCACTACCATCCATTGGCATGGTATTCGGCAGCTATTTACGAATCAAATGGATGGCGTCAATGGTGTGACACAGTGTCCAATCGTAAAAGATGACACTTTTACATATAGATTTAAAGCCTTACAATACGGAGCCACCTGGTATCACAGCCATTACTCGCTTCAAGCAAGTTCACAAAGATCCACTAGGGCCAATACGTACGCTAACAATGAATTTCTCAAACAGTATCCCGATGGACTTGCCGGGCCTATGATCATTCACGGACCGTCAAGTGCAAATTGGGATATTGACATTGGCCCAATCCTCATACAAGATTACGTTCATGATTCAGCATTCATCGTCTATCAACAGGAGGTTACTCCCAATAGCTTTGCCCGTGCTGATAGCATAGTGGTAAATGGCACTGGACATGACCCAGTCACGGGTACTGGAAGTTACTTTGAGACAGTCTTCACTCCTAAAAAGAAACACCTCTTGAGGCTCGTCAATGGTTCAGCTGGAACGCATTACATTGTTTCATTTGACAACCATACGATGACTGTCGTCCAAAATGACCTGGTGCCTATCGAGCCATATACCACTACTTCCTTGAGTATAGGAATTGGTAAGCCTCCTATCCTGTTGACATTAACCCATGCTAAGTCCCATTAGGGCAACGATATTCCGTTATAATTGAAGCAGATCAAGAGCCGGGTGATTACTGGATGCGTACTCACCCTGCCTCGGGGTGTAACGGTTTCAATTCAGGTATCTTTACTGATACATTTGAGCCATTCAACGTTACCACTGGGATCATCCGTTACGACAATAGCAGCAATGGATTGCCAACAAGCAGCCCTCACATATATAAAAGAAACTGCACGGATGAATTAGCAGAGAACTTGCATCCCAAAGTCCCGTGGTATATTGATAGACACCCGCAGAATAATATCAGTTCAAGCCGCTTCACTGCAGCGCATCAGAACGTGTCTGCCGGCCCTGGAGGTTATGAGCATTGGATGTTGACACCAGACTTTCTTTGGCTTGATTTCGGAAGCCCTACGATATTGAATCTTGATAAACATGATTGGAACAAGAATTTTCATGTAGTAGAGGGCAAGTTCTCCGTCCCTCGAGTCAGATTTGAACATTGTTTTCTTCTTGTAAATGCCTATTTCCTAACTATTGATTCTAGACAAATTCGACAGTGGTTACGTCTTCATGATCATTGAAGCGTCATTGAATTCGCCCACAGCTCCCAATACGACCATTCCCCAACGTAGGCAATATATGAAATCACCCTTATCTAGAGCCTAATTATCTAATGTGTTTATAGTATCTCATCCCCTTCATTGGCACGGTATGGATGTCGTTCTTTTGGCGCAGAGCAATGAGACCTTTGATCCGGAGAAGAGCTATGCCACCTTCAACTTCAACAATCCTCCTAGACGAGACGTGATCCTGCTTCCTGCTCACGGCTTCATCGCAATAGCCCTGAAACCCGACAACCCAGGGGCATGGCTTGTGCATTGCCATATTGCTTGGCACGCCAGTGCTGGTAGGTGTAATTCTCGTGATGATATCGCTCCCTCTTAATAATACGCGAATAGGACTCGGACTCCAGATCTTAGAAAGACAAGGAGAGATTGTTCAAGCTCTGGGACCAGGTGCTCTGGAAGAAACTACAAGAATTTGTGATAATTGGAAGGCCTTCAATGTGTCACGCCCTATCATACAAGACGATTCTGGAATTTAGCGTCTCAACCCAGTATGGCCAAGTTTGCAGTGGACTAAGTGCGGCGCGACACCTGCAATGCCATACTTCGTGGGAGATGATGAATTCTCTAGACCTCTACGGGGATATTATCACCGGGTATTAGCATGTTGAAATCTCTATGTCTGTTATCTTTAATTCGCGCTCGCTTCTGGTGTGACCCCGATCAACTTTCCAATCTAGTTGCCGTTGGCAAATGAGAGTTCATTCTCACCGTAAAGAAACTGCCAGTTCCGGGTATCTAAGTTGCGCGTTTGTGTCCTAGTTTCACGCAGCCTCTGACCGATCAACTGCAATGTATTAGCGATTGTACTACCGGTTGATAACCAAATAAATAGTAGAGTGGTGGCCACGGAAACGAGACAAATCCTGGTCACCCCACTGTATGTCTCTATCGCGTCATTGAGCGCGGCCGGTACCCCGCATCCCTGAGACAATCAGACAATACCCTCGATGTCTAGATTACAAATTCCGAACTGAATTTTCTTTGCTAATCATCTAGAACTTCTCCTGAAATAACAACAATATTGGCGACATAACGACCACAATGTTCAGCATCCTCTCTCGTCTGGCGGGCAGTAGCCCTAATAAGGCTCTGAAGGGGCACAAACTCCTAATTATATCACCGTGGACTCCACCGACAGATGTCCTGACGAGACTACGTGAGGTATATTCCGGTCTTGAGATAGCCCACTACAATGCCAAGAGCGATGTTCCGGATGGAGACTGGAGCTCCGTGACAATTCTTCTTACCCAACGGGAATTTCCAACTAAGGAAGCGGTGCCAAAGTTGGAATACATCCAACTGTACAGCGCAGGGGCTGAGCATATCGTCAAAGATCCTCTGTTCGTGGACACGGATATAAGTTTCTGCACAGCAAACGGTGTTCATGGGTGAAGACTTTTTACAATAAGACTATTTTACTGGGTGTGTACCCTTTTGCTAACAAATCTTAGACCCCAGATCACCGAATGGATCATTGGCACTTTCTTAGCTTTTCAGCATAGTTGTAAGGCATCCTCACAAATTAGTTTGCGGTTTGCTTCCCGGAGCTGTTCACTGACGTCGTAACCTTCATGGATAGTTCCAGCATATCTAGAGCACCAAAGGGAGGGCAAGTGGAAAAGACTAGACACCCCTGTGGATGACGCCGTTGGTCAGAGAGTGTAAGTTCGCGTTATGCAATGTTTAAGACAACACGGAATTAACAGCATGACAGAGGAATATTAGGTTATGGAAGTATAGGCCGCCAGGTTGCCCGTGTTGCAAAGGCACTTGGTGCGGATGTCCATGCTTATACACTTCATCCACGCAAGACGCCTGAGTCCCGAAGAGATGATGGGTATACTCCGCCCGGACTTGGTGACCCAGAGGGAGTCTTTCCCTCAAAATGGTTTTCGGGAGAATCTAAAGAAGAGCTGCATGAATTTCTTGGCTCTGGACTGGATCTTTTGGTGGTCTCCTTGCCACTCACCGACCTGACTAGGAACCTGCTCTCTGCATCTGCCTTTGAAGTCCTTTCGAAGTCCAGGACATTCGTCTCCAACATTGGCCGCGGTCCAATCATCAATACTACTGACTTGATAGAGGCGCTAGACAAGGGGGTAATCCGCGGTGCAGCCATAGACGTGACAGATCCCGAGCCGCTACCCGATGGGCATCCTTTGTTCAAGGCCAAGAATATCATCATCACTCCCCATGTCAGCGGCGCTTCGAGCAGTTACAACACACGCGTACTAGCAATATTAGAACATAATTTAAGTCGTCTCAGTGAAGGGAAGGAGCTTACAAACAAAGTCAGCAGGAAAGATGGTTATTAGGGCTTCTTGAATGCTCGGCGCTTGAGATAGACCGTCTGTGGTGTTACAGGCATCATTACTGCAGGGATTTCGGGCCGCGTCTAGATCATTTTATCCTCCAATGTCAACTTCTCTTTTTCGCTATGGATACTCACCCAGCTGAATGAGGCTTAATGCTAATTTATGTACCCTGAAGTCTCACCATCAGATTGAAGGATTCGGTCGTGGAACCGAGACTAGCGCTAATCCAGCCCTAACAGATTGCTTGTGGTGAAGCTAGTATCCGCCTCGAGGTTTCATATCCCTGCTTATTAGATGATGTAGGGGACACCCTCTCACCACAATGTGTGTGTTTAGTCAAATGGCCAGATTACTCGTTGAAGCTTGGTTGATCCGTTAAATACCCTCCATTGGTCACTCTTCTGCTCTGTCCTCATTTTGGTGATCATTCATTTGCAGTCCTGCCTACGTGCTTGTCGCTCTTTTTGTAGAAATTATTATCAGTCATTCGCTTCAAGAGGTTGACCTCGTCCTCTCATTACAACCCAGTTATCATCACCTCGTCAACCCTTAAATTGACCAAGTCCGGCATCTGGAACCAACTTGTTAAATTCTGCCTCAAGCCTCTATTCATTGTTGTATCGCCTTTTGCTATCACAATGAAGACTACTACGGTCCTTCTAGCTATTGGAGTTTCCTCCTTGGCTTGGGCTTGCCCGGCGATTCGGCCGAGCAGTTCTTCAACCTCCACTACAGTCCAGTCTCCAACTCCGCAACCTGTTGCTCCAAGCTCAGCACCTTCTGTTTCCAATGAACCAGTCCCTGTTGTGACGCCAAGCTCCTCTGCGGTTGCTGAGAGCCCCATTCCCGCCGTTACATCGACTCCGCCAACGCTTGTGGAGAACCCTGCGCCAGCGGCTCCTACCACTTTGGTTACATCGGTGGCTCCTACCAAGATCAGTACCAGTCCGGTAGCTGCGGAGCCAACGACACCTGCCAGTTCAGGGCCTTCAGTCTCCGGGGAGTCAACCTTCTACGGCGGCAATGTTGCAGGAGGAATGTGTTCATTCTCAACTTACACACTCCCAAGAGGCCTCTTCGGCACTGCCTTCTCTGGATCCGCATGGGACAGTGCAGCTCACTGTGGCAGCTGCATCGAAGTTACTGGGCCAAATGGAAATTCCATTACTGCCATGGTAAAGACCGCATTGATATTACTACCCTGTTCAGCATGCTAACACTACTAGATTGTCGACCAATGCCCAGAGTGCGACGAGGGCCATCTTGATCTATTCCAGAATGCGTTCGCGGAGCTGGGAGATATTTCTGCGGGCATTATCTCAACCTCTTACACCTTCGTACCGTGCGGTATCACCTCGCCACTCGTTCTCCACAACAAGAGTGGTACATCCGCGTACTGGTTTAGCATGCAGGTTGTCAATGCCAACGAGCCAGTCGAGAAGTTGGAGGTCAGCACAGATGGTGGTGCCACATGGCAAGGCACAACTCGCGCCGAGTACAATTTCTTCGAGAACTCAAGCGGCTTCGGTACCACAAGTGTGAACGTTCGTGTCACTAGCACTGGCGGCAAGGTTATCACCGTTAACGATGTGACCGTTGCATCTGATTCACAGGTCACGGCAGGCTCTAACTTTTAGGTAACACGGGCCTATGTGCTTGCTTCGCTTCTTGCGTGTATTGTTCGCATTTTGGTAGCCTATGCTTGCCTTGTACTCTGTTCCTGTACATATTTAACTAAACGAATCAATCGGACATGTCTTCTGATTCTGATCAATTACACCGACATGCGATTTATCGCGAGGCTTGACAAGCCATAATTGTACATCTGGCAGATGGCCCCATTCTCAACCCTCACAATAGGCATGGTCGTGCTATCAGAAGGTCAGCTTTGGGATAAAGGCGTGAGTCAATGATATGATCTGAATTATTTGATGCGACAAGATCGATCATCACTCGTGGTGTTCTTCATCTCATAATATCCTTACATTTAGGAGTTCCGAGGCATCAAGCCTGTAAATCGGTCAATCTGCGTTTCACTCCAGCAAGCAGTGATCGTCTAGTAAGATATAACTTTTCCTCTGTCTGCACTCTTTCCGGATGAATTGCTTCCTCGTTGACGTAGAACCCAAAGCCTGCTACATTCTGCACCTGAACTGTCTTAACGCTCGAACCCGCGTATCCACTCGTGATGGGACTGGTGTCCAACAACCCCTGAATCCACTTTCGAATCCTTTCGTCCTCGTCCAGAACAGCCATGGCCATTCCTACACTTGACACGTCTCCGCCGGCAAGTCCCACAGCCTTTGCTGCGACCAGGAACTCCGACCATTGTCTCTGTGCGTAATTGAAGACAACTCTCGAGGACTGTAGTCTTCTGACTATAGAACACTTACTTGAATGATATTCAGAGTATAGTGAAGTGAATTGACTTGAGCAAGCAATGAGCGAAGCATTGAAGCCAAGATACTGTCGAGCTAACCCCGTGATATATATGTGTATGTGTCTTAGATAAGGCAGGCATACATTCAGCCCTATGGGGTGGGACTACCTCGAATGATGCGCCCGGAGGTTTCAGTATCATCAGCACGCTACATCATTGCCGACTAATCTAGTCTAAGGTTGGATGGATGTCTGGCAAATAAGCGTAAATCGACAGACACGGCATCCATGCTTCGTCTCCTGCAGTGATACGCAAGCCAGTGCAGAACTCTCCTGCAGCGGCGGAGTCCGGCGGAGTGAAGTCAGGAAATGAGAACCAGTTGCATCGGTTGCAGGTGTCTCTTAAGCGCCTGCAGAGACACAAGGATGTTTAGCCACAGCAAGACTGGGCTAAGTTGTATGCATGCTTCTGTGTTTCTGTAGCTGCTAGTTGGAAGGAGAACTCTAATTCACTGTTAATCGTCGTCTCTGGCCAACTCCCATTGTTGCAAGCTGTTTTTGTTTTCCAATTGATTACTATTCAAGTGTCTCAGCTTTGGAATGAGTGTTGCGGCTGGACGGCTCATCATGAGTACAACAGTACCACATGGCCGGATAAGACATGATTAAGGTGTGGTGCGGTAGCTATCTCAGCCCCGACTTGACGCTGAAACATTACTTCCAGATAGAGAAACCAGGGCCTCAACCAGTTGTTGAGTTGAGTTGACTTTAGGTGATGATAGCCAGCTTCCATCCAACCCGGACATCGTTCGGAGGCCCCTCTTTCGGGCCTTCTGCCGTGTAGCCCGAAATAGGCCAATCACAGAAATGCAAATTCAACGGCCAATAGGTAAGATACGCGATGAGCCCGAGCCGGGGCCCGGGGTAAGGCATGAGCCTTCTCGTGTGAAATTACTTATGACCTGGCTCCTCTTGAAAGAGATCAACCCCATCACGGACCTTCATCATAATTCCCTTGTCATCAGAAGCGTGCCGCAACATACAGTCTATAAATGATGCATGACGTTTGTTGGAGGCCACACCTTGCCGTGCTAGGCCACTGTGGAAGCGCCGACAGAGACAGAGGGTAGCTGTCGTAAACACGGACCTCGTATATTGCTCGAGTTGAGCTAAGGATCAGAAGCGCTTCTGCGGCCCGGGCCCCAGTCCGCCTCAAGCCTGTCTACTAGATAGGAAAATTGAAATTTTATCTCATCAGTGCTCTGGACCAGCAGCAAAGTAGCTGAGCGATCAGGTTGGACCCCAGTCTCAAGCAATCATTATACTTTGACTTAGAACACACTACACATCGGTAAAGACACGGGCCACCAAGCAGTGAAGCGAACTATGTTCGTTAGCCCTATGAAGACATGGTATCACTACAATTCCCTTTTGGTTCTCCCAGCGACCGGGTCGCCATCCGTATCCATAACACAGAGCGTCTCGTCTCTGTATACCGGCACCCATTATATACTAACACAGTTGCAAGCAAGACAGGTACGGTTGCACCCGCCGTCAAATTGCGCCGAGCCATCCAGTTTGCTTCGTCTGAGTTGCAGAACCGCACCGCCACAAAGAGCCGTAGACAGCCAAACTAATGCGAGAAGAAGACTGCGAAAGTTCCATAACGCCGTCCAGTTCCAATACTCAAACAACCTTTTCGATTCCATGAACAAGAAAACTCTGCCGAAAGTCGGTTCAAGCAACGTTGCTGCTGTGGCGCGCTCGCTTGCGGGCGCTTCCGGCGGCGGGATGCATTTTGTCGTTTTTCTCGCGCTTGAGCTTCTCGTCGAGGACACGAGCTACATATGGTTAGATACATGGGGCTACAAAGCATCGCCGAGGCGCAGAGGAACCTACTGAGAACGTCGTAACCGAACTGGGGGTACTCCAAGCACAGAGAGCGGAACTCCTCCTCGGCTTCGGCACGCAGGCTATGCGACCGCGTGGCCCAGAAGTTGGCCACCGGAGCACGAATGGCAGTGTCGTCCTTGGGGGTGAAGGCATATACGTATCTGGCGTACGCGATCTCGCCCTTGGCCGTGGAGTTGACACAGTGAATCTTCGAACTGGCGAGGTTCTTCAGCCCGGGAAGCTGGAACTTCTCGGCGAGCGTGTAGACACGGGCATGCTTAAGGAGCTGGTCTCCAGTTTCATCCACCTTAGGGATGCTGTCGTCGGCCTCCAATTGGCGCTGGCCGGGGATCTTCTTGGGGAAGTAGTCGCCGGTGTAGAGAAATTCGAGGAAGCAGCCAACGGCATCGATATCGTCGCTAGTGAGTTCAATTTGACGAGGCTGAGAGCCAATTGTCAGTAATCACATCATGAGATTAGGTGCACCTGCCAATGTAGACAGGGCCAACAGAGACTAGGTGAATACTCACACTTCCGTCATCGCTGAACTGGGCGCAGGCTTCTCGGAAGTAGGGGCTTGTGGTCAGCAGACCTTGATGGGCAGTGAGGATCGTCTCTTCCTTGCCATTGCCAACCAGCAGGGTGACAACTGGGCTGGCAAGGTAGCTGAGAAAGGTCACACGGGGGGCAGGGGGGTCCGCGATGTCGTCGTCGGGGAAGGGCAGCGCAGCTTGTCCATTAGCAGTCTCCTCTTTGTCCTCAGCCATCTCAACATCGCCGCTGGGGTCCTCAGTGCTGGGAACATCCTCAGCAAACTCCTCGGTGAAGTCGGCCATTGCCGAATGCGATCTGGCTTGGGGGTGATGAATTGCGATTGGCAGCTTTGTCGGTGGTTGCAATCAATTGGCGCACCGGATCCTCGACTTGTGAACCGAAATAGTACGAAAAGAACGGTGATGAATGTCAATTCGACAAAGGAGACAAGGGCAGGAGGCTTGCACGAAAGAGAGAATAATATAGCGGCACAATGGAGGAATCCGACTCTACTTGTGATGTGATGAACCCGCAGAAAGTGGGAGATCTGCTAAGCCGAGAGGGACAGCTGTGAGTGAGCTAACGCAGCAGCTCCAGAGCTTAGCGTCGTGCCTGAAGCGCAAGGCAATAATGCCGAGATGGTCATAGCTTCTTTTGTGCCTAGGGACCAATTTCTCGACTTCTTAGACATCTCCTCAGAAGCTCGTGGGATTCAAAGGGGATTCGCATTGATCAATTATTCAGCCAATTTATATCTTTTATCAATCACGGTACTGAGCAGGCCTAGTCAATGAACTTGGAGACGTTGCGTGGTCGGGTTAGTGCAACCTCGAACTTCCCAGATCCAGCGTCTCGACTTAATAAACGGACGCATTTTGCAACAAAAAAAAAAAAAAAAAACCCAACCACATAATCCTTATCAGAGATCTCCTTGGGTCCTGAGGACATCTTTGCTTGGTGTGTGGACCAGGTGGAAACGCTCTTGTCTGCCATAAACCCAGTCCCATCCCTTTTCTTCGTCCACCCAGCGAATGTCTTCTTCGAGAGGGAACACATACGTGGCGTTCTTCTCGGGGACAAAATGCTTCGCCAGCAATTCCACACTGTAGTAGGTCTTGGGCAGTAGTGGCAGATCTCCAAGCTTGGGTACGCCGTCTTGCAGATTCGTCATACCTGCCAGGAAATGTCAATTCATCTTCTTCGTGAGAAGTGCACGTTTGGGCATCGCTCACCGACTAGAGTGCCCGCCGAATGCCCCCAATCGCCAATGGGATGGGAATACACCAGGCCGTCGATTCTCTCCTCGCTCATTTGTGCCAGACATGCCGCCAGGATGTCATTTCCTGTTGACCCAACCTTCATATTTGATTTGACGATATCCTGCATTCTATTTCCCTTCTTCAGGCCGTCCTTGAGTCCCTGGGGAATGTCATCCTCCGTCTCGCCTGGACGAAGCACATATCCCAGGTGCTGCGTATCTGTATTCAGACCCAGAGCAGTCACCCCAAAGTCCACATGCAACATGTCACCATACTCAATCACCTCCCTCGGACCATTTGGAAACCCCGGGTTGCTACCAGGAATCTCAAAGTACTCATCTATGATTGTCACATCTGGCTGGAACCAAGTTGTGTAGTTATACTCCTGGATGCGCTCCCGCAGCCACCACTCGACGTCCGAGACGGTCGTTTTACCCGGGGTGATCACCCGCTCGCTGAACGCCTCGTCAATCATCGCCCACGCCGTCTCCATCAGCCGGGGATACCACGACATGCGCGCCGCGGGCTGCGTGGCGATGTACTCGACGGCGAGCATGGGCTGGGTGATGAAGCGCCGTGCCCACTTGGGCCCCACGCCGGCGTACAGCGCCTGGAACTCGCCGGCGTGCATCCCGCTGCTGAAGGCAATGTCCTGCTCGATGTTGAGCGCGATGGTGGCCGGGTCCTGCGCCTCGAGCATCTCCTTGAGCTCGTCCCACACGCCCGGCGTGTTGTCGATCCATGTGTACGAGTCTGGCGTGTCGCCGGTGGCGTTGGCCAGGAAGAGCGTGGTGGTGCGGCGGCGGGCGGAGAACTGGGTCGCTGACTTCAGCGTCCAGAAGACGGTTTCCTCGGCATATTCACGCTGGCTCATCTGCAATTGTTCGTAAGACTGTTGTATTGCTTCAATTGACATGAGATGGCGAGCTTACAAGCCAAGCATCAACCCCGTACTTTTGAAGGAGGGCGGGAATTTGTGTACGTCTCTGCTGGGTCCAGTCATTCTGAATCTTTGCCTGTGCCCTAAGAGGCGGCAACCTGTGATATTTCGGGTCATGAGATGGCTGATCACCTTTGGCGACTACATCTCCTACCAGCAGGCTCGCAAAAAAAGTGACAAGAAGGAGTAACTTCATCGCAGCCAAAAGATTCGTCTCTTCAATATCTTGATGTTTGAAGAAGTTGTGTCGCTCGGAGTCGAGCCGCAAAAGATGATGTCTTCAGAACTTCACTAGGCCCTGTGAGGCAGGTGGGTTGGAGGATCAGATCAGGGTCCCATCATATCAGCACTCTACTGAACGTCATTATTTGCTCTAAAATTCAAAAATGATTTTATCATTTAGCTGGGGAGTTTCATAGTCATCAAGAAGCTCAGAAAGATCACCATGTTCCAGTAATAAACAAAGGGACAGCCAGCATAGCGAGTAGGTCGAATTACCTAGGTATACAGTCCCGGCAGATATATGTCACCACCACAGCAGCTTCTCCTCCACTGCGGGGTCATTTGCAGCAATTGGAGTCAACGCGGGGTAGCTTCACATTCCAGCACTCTTTGTAGAGTGAGACTGAGACACTGACAGCCAAGCAAGATTCTGATCCGAAGTCTCTCCGTCTATAATTATTCATTCCCCAGTGTTTTTCTACGTCACCTAGCTCAATGTTGGTATATGAGTTCCTTGTTCCTACAGTTGCATACCCTCATTGGCAAGTCATGAGTTGATAACGGCCTTGGAAATGGCTCCGGGCGTTCCCTGGTCCAAGCCATTGAGAGTTGCCATATCGTTCTGCGAGAGGTCAAACCCGTAGATATCCGCATTCATCTTGATTCGATCTGGGCTGTCGCTCTTTGGCAAGGGCACCCAATTGCGCTGGAGGCTGTATCGAATCAAGACTTGATTAGGTGTGACGCCGTACTTCTTCGCGATGGCGTTGAGAGTAGGATCATCGGCCTTCTTGTTCCGGACTATCGGGCAATATGCCTCGATCACAATTCCGTGCTCCTCGCAGTACTCGACGATCTCCTTCTGCTGGCACCACGGATGAAGCTGTCTTCTTGTCAGCAGAGCGACTTAGTCCCCCTTGTCAGTGAGAAGCGACATACCTCGATCTGGTTGACCGTCGGGGGCCAGACCTTGGCGTACGGCTTCATGTCCTCGATATGCTTGATCCCGAAGTTGGACACGCCAATGCTCTTGGCCTTGCCTTCCTCATGCAGCCTCTCGAGCGCCAACCACATCTCCTTGACATTCTCACTGCCGCACTTAGGGTTGTGAACAAGGAAGAGGTCGACATAGCCGTCCTTGTCGAGCTTCTGGATGCTCTCCACACACTTGTCGTAGTTCTTGTCGACTGAGCCGGCGGGGTCGAGGATCTTGGTGGTGATGAAGACGTCTTTGCGGGCGAGGCGTGACTGCTTGAGAGCCTCGCCGACCTCTTCCTCGTTGGCGTATAATTGCGCTGTATCAATATGGCGGTAGCCGGCTTCGAGAGCCGTCAGGCAGGACTGTGTAGCGACATCTCTAGGAGATTTGTAGACGCCGAAACCAAGCTGTGGGATGCTGCCTGTATCGTGCGGCAGGGACAGGATGTCGGTGATTGTGCGGTTTCCCATCTTGGTCCTTGGCCAGGATGAGAAGCAGAATCTGCCGAGAGAATTTTGAGACCTATCGGGACGTTTTGTCAGATAAAAAGGGTTCAGATCCTTGATATGAGAATGACTGAGTGAATGAATGAATTTCGCGTCGTAGTCCGGTCGCGAAGCAATGACAGCACAGTCACCTCGCAGCTCGATGATCTCATTTGGTGAACAAGGTTGGTAGCGACCCGAAGGGGCCGTTGCCTGACAGCCGTTAAACGGCGGCGCCCCTCCCCACCGTCGCGGCCCGCCTGCACACTACTTCCGTGTACTCGGGCTTCTTTGGCCCGACTTGATGTTAAAATATTCCGTACTGGCAGCCTCCATGGATGCAGTACTAAAACGCTCACATTTTCATTGCCATTGTGCATGTAATTCCGTTCAGATCAATAATTCCGATGCTAACACCCATTTCCCCAGAGAACAGAAAGACAATCTCTCGTTAGCCGTACCTAGCCTCATTGCAGAGCCCCGCAATGCCTGGCATTCAAGCAGGCCTCCTCTACCACGAGTGTTGTCTATGTTTCGCATCGACCATGAATGCTAGGCTAGGTGATTTGATCCCTTGCTAGGCATGGTTGAGACACATCCTTTCAAGTCTTGAAATCGAAAATGAAAAACAGTGAGAAGCTAGAGGTCAACAGCAACTCCAATGGCATGCACCTCAGTAGTGGTTGGGGAAGAGGGAGAAGGCCTAATTTTGGTTAAGTATTAGAGAGGTCTTGCTCCTAGCGGCTTGTCCTTTCAATTTATATAAACACACACAAATTAATCCCTGTACTTTCCCTACCTGTCATGTGCTTCAGTCGCAGAATGGATTGAGAGGAAACTCCGTGGTTGGCGAATGGCGAAGAGCAGGATATTGCTCGCTATGTCGGTCACAATACTCGCCATTCTCCGGTGTCCCTGCTTGGAATTCGTCTTTTTCCCTTGCACTCTCCTTCATTTCAGCTTCAAGCTCGTGAAGACGCGCAACGGCGGCATCATGCACAATGCGGAGGAAGCTATGTATCACCCCATTCACACAGAAGAGCCTGTGGTAGAGTCTAACCACCCAGGTTACCATACTCCTGCCAATGCCGAACACCATGTGTGAGATGACCTATGTTTATGTTAAAGGCTGTCGTCGCTTGGATTTATATAAGAACAGCATACAAGGAATACTAAGAAGCTCAACACCTCCGGCAGAGGGCGAAAATCGAGCCCATGGTGGCGGATGGCGCCTGCAATAATGGCCACACGGAGTATGCAGATTATGACCCTTTCGGCTTCTCGACAAATCTCTGCTACCTGCCGAAATTCAATCATGTCGGCGAGGCGGAACATTGAGTATACAAACAATCTGTAGAGGCGATTCGCTCGCCGAGTAGTTGCAAACGTTCCTCATCAATACGGTCAATTAAGAATTTTGGCTCTATATAATAACGTAGACAAAGAGGCTGTCCATTTCTCGCGAAAGCTGGCTGTGTTTAACTCAACCACTTAGTTACGTTTTCGGTCGTTATGACTCTTGACGACACAACAAAGAAACCCCATCCCTTTTTCCAATAAACCCCGAATTACAGCCGAACCTTCACTTAAACCTCAGCTAATTCAGAATATCCGCATAATATCTTTACGATACTCTGGGTCCGGTGATTGCAATTGTAACGTTCTGCCGAGGATAGTTGTCAGGTCTGGAAATTTTTTTATTCAGAAATTGTTGTCCGTTGAGGCAATAGAGATTCCTGTCAAGAGTTGCTGAGATCTTCTTGTACTGGTCACTGTCTTGTAGTCATTCAGGCATCATGCTGGTAGACACTTAAAAAGTTACTACGAGTGATAGAGCAGTAGTTCATGGTCATGTGGTCATCCTCCCACGTCAACATGCATGATCTCGCCTACAGCGTGAGAAATCCGCCACTCCGGAGGCGATCCCGAAAATCTGGTGAAGTGGTGACGCGGTATCGTCGGCCGTAGGCTTTACCCGGGCTTCCGGTTGAGGCTCTGATATTATCCAGATGGATGGGACCATCGAATTGGGGAGACTGTACCTACAGCTCACAGATGACTGTTAATTCTCGGTCTTGGCTGTATAATTATAGCCGCCAATGATGATTTAGTCCAACGATAAGCTATCCGTTTCGACGAACTATTCCTTAGGAGTCACAGGTACGAGGCACTTCACAACAGATATTGTTTGACTTCACTTACGTAGGTAACATGCCCTACAGCTTTCAAGCTTTGTATCGTGGTTGAAGTTTAATAACACATGCAACTCTCTAAGCCCTTTCCCTAAAGAGCGTGCAGCAAAATATACTTACAGTTGTGAGTTTCCTGAAGATATCATCAGCATTGACTAGTCTGCCTTATTTCCTCTTTTAAGACCTTGCTGAGCAGCTCCCACTATTCCGCACTTCATTTCGTCATCCTAGTATTTCCATTCTTAGCACCTCATTCTATACACCTCACCGGGCAGACGCGGTTAAACCCACACCGATAAGCAAGCATAACAGCACATCTTGGATCTATTAAACAGATATCGTCTCTTACGCCACATGCAATTTCCTTTTCACCGTGCAATGCTTGACCAATTTGGACTTTATATGACCTCAATCACGCCCAGAACTAGTACACTGCAAGAAGCTATATATAATCATAGGAAGGAACTGCCTCCTCTTCAAGGACAGATTCCTGGTTCTAGCTCATTTCTTGGTGGATATTGCAAGTCGCCCTCATATAAGAGTTGCGAACAGATCTGCTCAGAATCCACGCTCCACCCTACCTGTAGCCTGAAAATGTACCACAGAGCCATGACTTCCAACATGATATCCGTACTTCTCGTAGCTGTTCTTCTACTCTCGAGAGTTACATCTGCGCAGAGAACTTCCAGTCAGAGTCTTTACGGCCAATGTAAGCTCGACAATGCGTTTCAGATGTTCAGGTCAGCTAACCAGCAATTTCTACAAAGGTGGTGGTCGTACCTGGGATGGTCCAACAGCATGCCCGACGGGCGCATATTGCAAAGGAAGCGACGAGAAGTGAGAACAATGCGCCTGGAGGGTTAAGCTTAGACTAACATAGTTGGCAGCCCCTGGTACTCGCAATGTGTATCCATAGCAGAAGACAGTCCTCCACCTGCTGGTGGGAGCAACCCTACCGTCATCACCAGGACAATCACGACCATCTTCAGTGTCGGCGGACCAACACCAACGGTTGTGTCAACCTTTGTGACTTTCCTGACTCCTGTCATCACACCACCGGCGATCACACTATCGACGACCATTACACTGATTCCAGATGATCCAATCACTGACTGGAAGCCTTGAATATTGCTTGGTATCAGCGGGCCTAAAGAGTGATAAAATGCGATGGTAAGATGAAGATAACTCGTTAATAGAGCAGCGTATCAATCTCTTTTATGTATTATAGTAATGCTCGAAGTTACAGTGAGAGGCTGGCTAGATAGCTCGGCGCAGTAATAAGACGGCATTACGGACAGTCTGGACGCTACCCTTTTCTGTTAATCGAACCGCAAAATGCTTGAAATATAGCACTATGATCTTGCCGAGAAAAGAAGGCTTTAATGTATCACCCACTAGAGTGCCTTGGGATGCCAAGGCTTTGTGGTGTTTTTCTCTGCGCAAATGCGCTTCTTCAACTTGAGGCTTCATACATGCCACTAGGCTATAAGGCAGCAAAGGCGCGTCAATGACACTTGACTCATGAAATTATGACATGTGGTGCAGAAAGAACATTGCTCAACTACCACTTGAACGCATCAATCTTAGCATCACTCTCACCATGGCGAAACGCCTCAGCTCAATCACACTGATATTCTCGCCTTACCACGTCGGCGTGCGAGGCGCCGCCGTCGGAGCAGGGCCGCTCCGGCTCCAGTCTCTCGGCCTGATACCCGCACTCGAGAACCTCGGCGTCACGGTTCGAGAGAAGCAGCTCGAACCGGTCGACGCTTTCGAGGGCGAAATCGGCCGCAGCTTTGAGCTGCTCAGGCGCACCTCCATTGCAGTCACGGAAGCCCGAGATTCGGGGTCGTTCCCAATCATCTGCTCCGGAAACTGCACCGCCAGCGTGGGCGTTTGGGCTGGTCTTTGCGGCTCATCAGAGTATGCTTCCAAGGCGCCACCAAGCTGCATATGGTTTGGTAAATAGATCTCTTTTCTAACCTTTCCGGAAAATAGGCTGATATAATAACAAAGATGCGCATGATGACCTGAACACGCCTGACACCATCATCAGTGGCTACTGGGACTCGATGCCTCTGAGTATGATGGCAGGCAAGTGCTGGCGGGCTCTTCTGAAGACCATTCCAGGGTTCAGAGCCCTCGACCTTAACCAGCTCATCCACATTGGCATGCGTGATGTCACCGAAGCAGAACGGACTGGAGTAGAGAAGGCTGGTTTTGACGTCATCTGGGGAAGCACAGAAGAAAAGGTGGACTTCAACAAGGGGCTCGGGGAGGTGCTCAAGCTGAAGAAAGGCAATATGAGCGAGACGTTGGTGCATGTTGATCTCGACAGCTTGGACCCGTCTGCTGGCAGGGCAAGTAAGTACCTTGCGCCAGGGGGCTTGCTGGAAGAGGACCTCACTGGTTGTCTGGAAAGGATTGTGGACGAGACGGTGCCGCTGTCGCTAACAGTGGCTTCATTCGACCCTGCTTTCGACACTGATGACCAGATGGCGAATGTAGCGATCCGTGCGATCAAGTCCTTTGTTGGCTCGTTGCTTCAGAAGGGCTTACTGATGCCTCAATGAAGATAGATACTAGGCGCTACTCGATATAGAACAATGTCCAAGGCGAGATTCATGGCAAGACTGTGAAATTGCCAACACACGAATAGGGGTCCCGCCTTGCCGTTTTTGCACAAAGATCAAGTCATGGAACAGAAGTCACATAAAACATACTGGAGACGAATCAATAGCGGTATTCAGTTGATGAATAATGCAGGTTCCTATCTATCAAAGTTCTTGGTGGCTGGCACAGATAATTATCCCTTCCTGATGTACACTGACGCTGCCAAGCCGATCAAGAGCTGTGCCCAATGCAACCAACGCCATCCATCGAGGGGTCCATTGTGCCCAACGAGTTTAGTATACAAAGACTTCTGGTCTCTTTGGCCAGAAGTTTCCATGCTAGATGCTTTCCTGGATGCTTCCGGAAAAGAAATAACAGTAGCTGTAGGGAATAGGAAATATGCTTCATCTTTCCCAGCGTCACATTAGATCGCTCGTTCCTGGGGTCTCCAAAACAACCACCCCTCGAACCTTCAGTTGACTTCAAGCCATCATACCAATTCTGTCCGTGAGGTGGCTTTACTTATGACTTCTCTAGCGAGTCTTGACGGCCTTGCCGCTGGACTGCCGCCTTCGGCTACTCCTCCTAAGGCCTAAAGCCGAGTCGTCATTTTCATCATCGCCAATCGCTGCAGAGATCTTCCGCTTCTTTGATTTCGGTCCAGCGAATTCGAAATCGCCTTCGTCGAGAGGGGTTTCTGTGCGTCGCAAGGGAGCTCTTCCTCTGGCAGCACGCTCCTCAGTCAAGTTTAGGAACCGATGCACGGTTCGATGATCGAGGATCCTCTCTTCTTTGTCCCATTTGCCCTCTGGCTCGGTTTTCGGCCATATATAACCGTACAACTTGCTATGTCGCTCGCATCGAGGACATGATGATTTTGTGTAGTACGCGTTCTGTTGGACAAATGCATTGTTGCAAATTGTGCAATGGATCCAGGCCATGTCAGGCTCCGCGAGTAGAAGAGGCGTGAGGGTATAATCCCCTGGAATTCGTTGACGTGGTGGGGGCGTGCCTTGCTTCTCCTCTGAAGACGACGCTGGAGTATCTCCCCTCGCCACCGCCTGTCTTACGGGACGGGGCACTTTTCTGGGGCGACCCCGACCTCGTTTGACGGGTGAGATGGCCGGCTCCATAGGTTCGATGGTTTCAGCGACTTCAGTGACTTCAACTGAGAGATTTGACGAGGTCGGTGTTAGAACAGGGATGCCAGTAGCTGACACTCCATCTATCTTTGCAATGGAACTCTCAGGTAGAGACTCAAGAGAAGATGCGCTCAGGGGGACCACCGGATCCATCCAGCTGGGCCGGGTTGTAGGCGCAGGTGGATCGTTAATCAGATCGTTGATGGACAATCCTCGAGACCTACTTTCAGTGGCTGATCGTACAGGAGCAACTTCACTCATTGGCGTAACATTCAGGAAAGGGGCTACTGAATTTAGTGCTGCTCTGCCCAATGCATCCGGGGGCTGCTCCTGCTTCAATGCCTCGAAAGATTCGTATGCTGAGCTCGATTGCGGCTCACGAAGACTTGGTTCCGGAAGGTCCTCTTCGGGGGTTGTCACGTCTGTCAACACAGTCTCGCCATTCGCGGAGTCTGATTCTGACACGCTTGGCGCCTGGCCGTCATCTGAACTTCCTCGAGAAATAGCAGCGCGAGAGACCACGGGCGTGACCTCGAAATGTGCCGTCTTCTGCTTCTTTGCGGGCGTGATTGGCGGAGTGGCTAAACCATCAATCTCGCGTTTTCGCTTCTGAAGACTATTCGGCGCGGTGATCAACCCTGAGTCAGTGGTCGAGGCACGATCACCTAGTAGCCTCTTCGACTTGCTTTTGTACACTTTTGGCCGAATCCCAGGCGTCACAGATGATGTTCGAGAACCAGAGTCACCGCGTTCCTCCCTACGTCTCCTTCGCAAGGAGTAGCCTTGGAGGGCGGCCATGTCCTCCTCGATGCTTTTTGTGAGCAATATATTGCCGTCTTCGGTCTTCCACCCATTGGCCAGATTGTCCTCGCAAGTCTTACACAGACACTCGCAATTATCCTCTCCGAAGTAATTCTCTCCGTAAGTCACAGTGATTTCCTCGCCAACATCAATATCTCGTACTGCAACGATCTCAATGCCTGCTTGACCCGTAGTCATGAGCTTGGCATTGGCACCACAATCATGGTTGGCGAAGCGGGCTGGGCCCATGAAAAGACTGGCGCACTTGTTCCGGCTGCTGACCACAATAGAGAAGTCCTTCTTGCGTGATGAAAGAGCGTCCTCCTCTTCTGGCGTGATCAACACCTGGATACCGGAGAGGTACTTGACTGTCTCGTTACGCTTGATATACCGCCGTGCCGTAATGCTTGCCTCTTGTGTAACAATTGTGTACCGGTTTGTGCTGCTGACTTCGAATGGACAGTCAGGGAGGTAGATCTGTAGATATCGGCGAAGGTGGCGCCTGAAATCGTCCTTTTCCTTGTCTGTCCGTAGCCCATTGTAGAATCTCTTCAGCCCATCGCTAGCGAGCAACTTGTCCTCAGCCACAGGCAGATTGGGATCGACAATAACATGAGTCTGAACGATCTTGGTGATGTCCTCTTCTCTGACACCGCGAGAGGCGTGGTATGAGGGCCGGTTCTTGGGTATGGTAGTCCAGTAGTAGGCCTAATGACATGATCGTTAGAAATATTGCTGGTCGCACGGACAAGACCATCTACTGCTACTATTCAAGAGGAGCAGTAACTTACGTGATCAACGAGCGCATCTGTCAATATATCATCGTAAGTCGACAATTGCGCCAAGGTCAGCGCCTGCTTCTTTGCGCTCGATCCAGGCGTTGGAGCCATTTTGCCAGGCGACGTACGATTCGACTATTTTCGAGGAAATCGAAGGGGGCCACCAACTGCAGGTCTGGTCTCGAGTTTGCAGGAGCAAATAATAGGCCGGATTGCCTCGATTGCAGCGAATGAAGGTGGGCAGGATTAATGTCCAAGTGAGAGGAAAGGAGTGGACGAAGGTCAGGTATGTCTTAGCCTTCAAAGACAATGGGCCCCAGGCGGACCGGGGAATGCGATGCGCGCGCCCTGGCGTAATAAGGAGGGTGGTAGGTTTGGTTGGAGAGACCGGACGAGACGGGGAATGTGGAGGAGGATTGCGCAGTCAGTTGGCTCCGTCCGTATTCCAGCAGGTGGTCAGGCCAGTGCAGCGCAACGCAACGCAACGCAATGCAACCGCAAATACAGGACCATACAAAGCACCAACACGCAGCAACGAAGGAGAGAAGGCGGCGCAGTCCGTCTGCTATTGTGTCCGGTTGGCTATTGTATCACTGGCGGTTGCTGCAATTCGTAGAGGATCTGTCAGGCCTGCTGCTGCTGTCGTCATAAGTCGGCGGCGGGTGGAAGCAAGGATCGCATCGCATTGATTACGGGAGATTTATAGGGACAAGGAGATGACGATGAGAGAGACAGTCTAAGGAGAAGAAAAGGAAGAAGAGGAAGAGGAAGAGGAAGAAGAAAAAGAACAGAGCAACGGAGTCCAGTTGTCTGTTCAAGCCATGACCTGGGCGGAGGGGTGAGTTGGTCGGGACTGGAGTTGAGGGAATAGTGAGGGAAGAGTAGAGAAGAGATCGATCGTCAATTGCCCGGGGCTTTGCATTATTGATTCAATACCAGTCCGCATGGCGGCCATCGAGTCCCCAAACCTTGGAAAATGGAGTGGCTAGGCGACGCCCTTCCTTCCTCCCCCTGTCTCTCGCCCTTACCCTGTAATTCGTCTACTACGCAGTAGGGGGCCCGCCCCAGCCAGGCTCAGGATCAGGCCCGGGCTGACCTCTTAGTGCAGCGATGGCCATTTACTCTGCAGCATTCGAGAGAAAGAGGGTGGCCTGCGCCTTCCTGCCCCGGCCCCATAACTGATTGGAGCTGGTCCGAGCTGAAGCGGAAAGAACGGGCAGTTCCACTCTGCACGAGGCGCTCGACATCGCACCAGCTCATTGGCCAGTTGCAAGTATCAGGCCGCTTGACCTGTTTGGGACAACAGCTGCTTTTTTCGTTTCCATGCAGCTCCAGGTACGTGAGCTGTGAAGACCGCAGTAACAGCTCAGCGAACATCACCATCGAGAACACGCACACAAACCCCCAAGGTTGCAGTGTGTCTCGGGTGGCAGCGTCGGCCAAGATGATTCAATTAAAGGTAACAGCTACTCGTGCCCCGTCCAAGACAGAACACTCGACTAACTAGCGTCCCCCTCGTGAACAGACGATGCTCAACTGCATCGACAACTCGGGCGCCGCCATCGTCGAGTGCGTCATGATCGTCGGCCAGAAGCGCCACGCCTCCATCGGCGACCGCATCGTCTGCGTCGTCCAGAAGCAGCGCGGCGCCGCCTCCGAGGGCATGTCCGCCTCCTCCGGCAACAAGGTCAAGCGCGGCGACATCCGCCACGGCGTCGTCGTCCGCACAAAGTACAAGGTCCAGCGCCCCGACGGCTCCGTCGTCCGCTTCGACGACAACGCCTGCGTCCTCATCAACAAGGCCGGCGACCCCATCGGCTCCCGCGTCAACGGCGTCGTCGGTGCCGAGCTGCGAAGGAAGAAGTGGAGCAAGATCCTCAGTATGGCTCCCATGCACGTGTAGACGAAGGGCTTTCTCCAGCCCGCTTGGAGCGGGAGAGAGAGAATGGGGGCACGCTTTGGATATGCTGGCATTCAATGGCATAGTACTTGAAGGGGAGGGCCTGACACAGAAAGAAGAGTACAAGTAGCTGACCGTCAGAAAGGGGTCAAGCTTATGTACCATATATCTGTATATATGGATGGGATCAAGGCATCATGAGACCGGCGTTTGGCATTTGCGTCTTGTAAAATACCAGCTTAGTAGCAAAAATAAATCTCCCTTAAGAAAGATCAACTATCATGCAATGAGTGTCGCTTAGTGGCTCGTCTTTGGTATCAATGGAGCCAGTTTTGGGCTGGATGTATACGATTCTCTGGTCGGAGCGCCAAAGTCACACGAGGAAATAAGATCAATGAGAAGAACAATGTCCATGTTTAATGGATGTCTCTTGATTTTCCGAATTATGGTTGAATGAAGTCTAAATATTACCGAAAACGCCTACAGTCCCTATCCCCTTGCCTTTTCTTCAGCGCATGCTGCCATTCTTCTAAACGCCACGCCAAATATGCAACCGTTGATGACTGTGAAAGACACCTCTTGCCAATCATCTCCCTACTGGAAAATATGACCGCATTCGCAGCAGACATAAAACAATTTCTGACGAGGATCAGCAGGTGCACAAGAAACCACGGGCGAAGAACGAGACTCACCATTCCTGTTTCAGAAGTACGTTGCTGTGACTGGAAGAAGACGGCTTCTTCGTGCTTGCAGACTGGGCAAGTCTTGTTGGATCGAGGGAGCTGTGAACCGGGAGAAGAATAATGTCAGCAGCAGGTTCTTGAACAAGAAACAACCATCGCTTCTCAAACAACAGCCCGCCACTAAACAGCATAATCCCATTGAGCGCCATTCCTGCAGAATCGCCATGCGTCGTCGTAGATCGTATATGAACCTTGCTAGATAATCGTACAGCGTATGCTCTCCCTCCTTTCGTGGATAGTGATTCGGCGTTGGTCGTCAGGCTCAAACCTGCGCAACACCTTAGTTGCCGTTATCGATGACCGTTCAGACTCCGCTCTCTAGGGAGAAGATCGGCTTAGGAGAAGACCATGGGCTACCATAACTGTCGGGCTGAAGACCACTTGTGCACTTGACAGGAGACTTCTAGTAGGCAACCAAGTCACTCTGCTCGCGGTCATCGTTGCCTTTATCCACACAATCATCCCACGCAAAATCCATGTCCAGCATAGCATCGGGGTCCGGCATATATACGTCGTGGAGGGCGAAGAGCTCGTCGAGTGTGGTGCAGTCGGACGGTGAAGACGGCGTCGGGGTCGCGATCGAGGTCGATGGAGGGGAAAGGGTCATAGCCGGGTTCACTCCACAAATAGAACACTCCACATCCTTCCCACAAGTCATGCAAATGATAAAGCTCAGGGCAGCAGCGCCCTCGCAGCGATGATTCGAAATAGCACAAAGAGAGGGCACACCAACCGTAGGATCAGAACCGACGTCCTGGGTGACACCAGCGGTCTCGCCCGCGGCATTATTGAGGACATTGCGGAAAACGCACGTGGAGGTCGCCTCCTCGGTGTATTGGCAAGTCCGGCAGGTGAACTGCAGTTTGTGCGAGTCCTCGTCCTCCTTGGGGTACAACATGTTGGAGCACTCGGAGCAGAAGCGGAAGGTAATCTGCTCTAGGTTCTTCTTGGTATCAGCGCCGTCCTGGGACGTAGCCGACTGAGGGGAGGCCATCGCGACAGCAAGTTGTCGTGCTGAATGAAAGGTCGATGCGAAAGCGTGCGAGGTCGAAAATGAAGGCAAAGGGGGAGTTGTCGCGGACAAGAGAGCAGAGGGCGTTGTGCTTTGTTGGGTGAGTGGTGGTTATTTGATGGCGGATGAGATGAATGAATTTCAGACGACCCGCGGCAATGGCTGGCTCCGACTAGCCTGATTCGAGATGACTAACAGGCTCCAAAGTGCAGTCCTTGGTGGGGGCGTGCTGGGTGTGGTGGAGATTCGCCTCCCGATCTAAGACGAGCTTTGGTCTCTCGTCCTCTGACAACAGTAAAAGCAAATGCAGGAACCGATATCTAAAAGGTGACCAGACTGTCAGAGACTGCGGGATTGATTACAACTGTAATGTGCAAGTATGGAAGGGGAGAAGAGCGAGATGAATGATCTATAAGATGACTTTTTTCAATTTATGGTGAGTAATGTCTGCCGGGCTGACTCAGTCATGTGCAGAAGTTGGAAGATAGGAGAGTGAAAATGTGTCTTTCAAGTCACCGAAAACAATTAACAAAACCCCCTGACCATCATCCAGGCAGGTATTCACTTACATGAGGCAACAAGAGGGATGAGAAGGCAAGTGCAACTTACTGACGGTGTCATGGGAAGAGCTATCGAACAAAGCGGGCAACAGTCTCCAGTTGATTTGATGTCAGGGTTGTCCAAAGAAGGTATCCATGTTCCTGCCATTATCTATTTTCCTTCCATGGGCGATTCTCAATGCTTGATCACTGGGCTCGATAAGTGTAGGTTTGCATGCACCTCGCGGCCGCTGAACCCGATTCGTTCATTTCGTGGTCTCGTAGGACGTATTTATGCCGCACTTAATAGGTGATACTGGACAGCCTGGAACCAACCTTTGATAGAATAGTTTGGACTTTCCTGTCAAACAGAGTTGTAGATACTCTTTACAGAACCATGAATAACCTGTGAACGTTGTGATATTAGTGGATATATGCATACTTATCCTTCTATCTACACATCCCTTCAGTCTCTTCACATCACCTCCCTCAACCACGGCTAGAAGACAAGTAAATATCTCGGTATGCTCTTTCTCCAATGCTATCACCTTCTTCAGCTATTACAAATTTTTGTCGACAAGTTTTATAACTTAATCAATACTAACACAAGCTTCTTAGTGTTAGCTGCCTGCTCTTCAATATCATGCTTCACTCCGGGGAGATCTCAATGAATCAAGACGTGATTGACTCGGTGGTGAAAGCCCTCTGAACTTGAAACTGCGATTTTAATTTACTTTTTTCCAATTGCACCATCAGCTCGTAATGGATGCCTACCTAGTCACTACAAGACGCCGCATTGGAAACTTGGGAGTGGCTAGCATCCCGACCGCGATCAATTTGAGCGAACTGAGTGTTGGAATGTCATAATCACCGCCTGGGAATGATATGCACGCAGCAATGATTCTTGGTCAAGTGAAGTCGAGGGAACTGATCCTTGGCCTGGTGTCCCTTCTTCAGCTGCGCTTAGAGGCAGGAGGCTCGGAGGAGGACGGAGTGGCTGTCAAATAACTGAAGTCATGGGTCGAACTAGAGCTATTCTGACTAACTCGACGACATTGATTGAGTACGTGCCCTTGTTCGCCGTCAAGACTAGTTAAGTCTGTTCTTATTGATACTTGTTAAATCATCGACAGAAGACTTGAGCCTAGGCACACAGTACTCTATAAATCCGGATAAGGTGACTTTATCCATGTAGCCTCCTGAGTGAGATAACTAATAGAATCAGTTGTGCGCCCCTGCCTCGAACCTCGTGATGCACAGCAGAACACGGTACTTGGTATGTTTTCGGCTTCTAACACAGATACAGTAAGGCTTAGATTAGTGTAGTGCCTTGCTGCTGAGACGCCATCGTGTGCACTTCAAGGTCCCTATTCGGCTGTCATCAAGGCATTCTTGGTATATAATGTACAAAAATCGGTAGCAACCTCGCCAGTCTACATCATCTCTGCAAGATCCGATGGGTCAATCAGTCGGCGGCGTGCGTGTGTGAGTGATAGAGTCGGATTACCGGGTAAGGTGGGCTTAGCTTCCCGCGGCGTCTGATTCGGTGCTTGTCAGCAGGTGCAGGGCAGGCGTTCCCAATTACCCAAGTTAGGCAAGTTAGCGTTGGGTGCAGGGGAAGAGGGGCTTCTGAAACCCCGCGTTACCGGGTGGATGGCCTCGTGATGGGACTGCGGCAGCCGTCGAATAGAGTGACTCCCACACCACCCACCATCACCATCATCCGTCACGTTGAATCTCTACTATAGCTCTAGGGGCAAGATCATATCTTGATAGTCAGTCATTCAGTCATTCAGTCAATCGTAGTGCAGTGTGGTGTACTTGTATTCGAGATAGTCACACTAGCAACGCGTCTTTGCTGCAAGATTTTGAGCGTCATCTGCCCTCGATCCATCCTTCCTTCTAGCGGTGCCCTGGCTGGTGTGCAACCTCGTCTCATCCACCAACGTCTGTCTGTTGCCTCGTCTACCAGCAGCACCAGGTAGGTAACTCACCTGTCCAACCAGGCCTTACATTACCTTGCCTTACCTTGATGACCGTAGAGAAGATATCTCAGCCTTCCACATACTCCTTCTTCTCCTTGTTCTTGTTCTTGTTCTTGTTCTTTAGCCCAAACCAGTTCAGCTTCTTCCTCCAGTTCATCCCATCCACCCGTCCACTTTGTAGTTGTCGATCGCGTGGAGTCAAGAATTGCGCCTCTCCCCCGACTCGACTTGGCTCGACAACTGGTACTTAGGTACTGCTGTTGGTCTTGTTCTGGTTGCCCCCTCCCCCGCGTGCTTTTTCTCACCCCCGACGACCCACAGCACGTCACTTGCTGAGATTTAGCGTGGGCTACCCTCCTCCATTCGATTCGAGTCGCATCTCATCGGCTGGCCTTCCTTCGATTGACTTGTTCGAGCCTTCTCTTTAATAATCCAGTCCAGCCCGAGATCCAAGATCAAGTCATCTCCAGCGGCCCACCTCAGTCGACACTCAGCAAGTCTCGTGGAAGCCCATCGCAATTACCAATCCTCGAAACAATGGCCGATAAATCTGTAAGTCTCCTGTCATTGTTTACCCCGGCGCACGCATTGCCACTCTGCACCACTGCCGGCTCCGTCGTACCCAGCTCTTGCATCCTCGCACGACTATCTGCACCGACTGCAACGCACTTCATGGCACCGTTGCCTCTTCATCGTACTAATTGTGTTTGATCACAGGGAGAAACCGGACTCCCACCGAACTGGGAAGTACGACACAGCAACAGCAAGAACCTCCCATACTACTTCAATGCCACCGAGAAGAACAGCCGCTGGGAGCCGCCCGCCGGCACCGACACGGAGAAGCTCAAGCTTTACATGGCCAAGTACCACAGCCCAGCCCACGGCGCAGACGGTGCGAGCAGCCAGCCGGGCAAGATTCGTGCTGCCCATCTCCTGGTGAAGCACCGCGAGTCTCGTCGTCCCATGAGTTGGAGAGAGGTCAGTGCAATATTTTTTTGGCCCGAAGCTTGCCACCCCTGGCGGTCCACGAGGGCTCTCCCTCCCTGTTCGAGAGGCGAGGCGAGGTGTAAGAGGAAGGTCAGCTGGGTCTAGGCAGAAGGATCGAGCTGAAAAAGTGGTGGGCCGTCGAACGGGAGCCGGGTGATACAGTGCTGAGCTCAGATTATTTTGCTGACGGTTGTTATTGCAATGCACAGGCCGACATCACACGCAGCAAAGAGGATGCCCTGCAAATCATCAAGGGCCACGAGGAGCGCATCCAGAAAGGCGAGATCTCCCTCGGCGAGCTGGCGTTGACGGAGTCCGACTGCAGTAGCGCCCGCAAGCGAGGAGACCTGGGCTATTTCGGCAAGGGGGACATGCAGAAGGAGTTCGAAGATGCGGCGTTCGCGCTGAAGCCCGGCGAAATCAGCACCGTCGTAGACACTGCGAGCGGGCTGCACTTGATTGAGCGGTATGATTAAACCTCGCCATGTCGTGCTTTTTCGATTGCCGTTGCATTTTACCCGTGCCTGCTTTTATCAAGGCGATCCATTACTTTTTCTTGAATTGCACGGACTTCCATATTGCACGAGACGTATCTTTTTTTCGATTTGTCGGCGGTTGTTGCTTTCTCAGGGAATAATCACTGACGACCCGTCTCTTAATAGATTAGAATAGAGCAGCGGATGAGCCTGTGTTACACTCACCGTCAATATGGGACGCGAGAGCAGCGACACGTGGATTAAGATACCACACCTGGTGAGAAGAGAAACTGATTTCAAAAGTGATGAGGAGTTTGACGGCAGCCTTCTCGAATCATAGAATTGGGCGGGCGTCATCAACAGCTCTCCTGAGCCCCTCATTTTATTACGAGGAGATGCAAGGGTAAAAAAAAAAGAAGAAAAAGAATTCAAAATGCATCAAGCTTGGCAACTGCCGTGTTGTGATCATTTCATTCTCTCTGTGCCTTCCAAGTCTACCTTAGTGAAGTGACGTTTATCTAATTTAAGTAGGTAGGTAGGCAGCATTGGGAGAAGAGGTTTCGCGATTTCTTCACTAGGAAAGTTTTCTTACTGCTGCTGCTGTTGTTCTTGCAACTCCGCTCACTCGTTCCTTCTGCTTTCGGTATTGTTTCATTGCTTATTGGATTGCTTGTGTGACAGTGAACTCTAAATACAGGGAAGGACCAGCCTTCTGGACTCATCTTCTTTATCATTAGACAGCTTCCATTGTCCAGAACATTCATCTTATCCTGTTCTCTCGTTGGTTTAATTCAGTGTCTATTTGGGTATTTTATGCATCAGATGATGATGGTCAGAAGATGACCTGCTCTTCGAATCCATCTGGTGCCATTTGTCTCATTCTTTCATTTCAGTCGTTTACTTCGTGGAAAAGTGCCCAACCGCTGGATACTCATTGTGCGACTTGCGCCACCAGCCACTTCGTCAATGGCCCGATCGAGGTGAGCACGACCGTCATGGCCCCAAAAAGCGTCATCGAGATGGTTGAATATGGCGCCGCGCGGCTACCTTGCTCATACAAGTGAGAGGTGCCCATGGCCGCCGCGTTGATTCCAACGGCCACACCGGCCGCTACCGTGCCAGCATCATCGAGCTTCTGGACCTCGAGTTCGGCGGGTAATACCTCTGGTGCTCGTGGCTTCTCGACGTTCTCATCACCTGTTCGAGCATGCACAAGAGACTCCCATGTGCGTTTCAGCCTCTTGATCTGCTCTCCTGCTCCAAGCCCGGCCAGCATCTGGAAGATGATCCCATTGAAAACCACCATGACTGCATTTAGCCCCCCATCGCCACCGAGCGCATCCAGTGCTGGGCCTCCCAACGCTATTGTCACACTCCGGGCCGCGAATGCCAGATCTCTCGAAGCGGGTCGGAGACCTGTAGCATGAGCCAGCAACGGCCAAATTATGACATTGCCAGCTGCGGTTACAGTGCACACTGCCAGAATCGTCATACCAGCTCTCGACAGAAGCTGAGACCGACACTCAAACAGCTTCAGCCCCCAGGAAACGATGCCTGCGTTGAGAATGGACAAGGCTATATCTCCAGCCCCCATGACAGGCGATTTCCTCTCGCCTGTTAACCCATCAGCCCCTCTGATAAGATTCGCGAGGTCAATTCCAGTAACGAAATTGAGGATCGTTTCCTTGATGGTTGTCTGTCGGATTGCTGTTTTAGCCCACGCATAGCCAATCATCACTAGGGAAGTCCAAAGAACAGCATTCAGCATCGTGAAAAGAAGGGTTCTCATTTTCGGCCGAGGTTGCAACCACAATGCTCGTTTCACCCCAGCTTGTGCTGCAAGAAATGCAAGCCACAAGAAGACCAAGAGTTGCGTGTCCAGTACTGTATCTAACCCTGTCATAACGGAGATGGGAAGACCTGTTGTTGTAACGAACAGAAAGCATACTGCAAGGCCGAAATTCTTCTGAAGGCCGCAAAGAGGTCTTGTAGCCGAGGTTGCTAACGTTGTTGAGACTTCGTTGTCCGCATTCGCAACCTGGATGTTATTTACCAATGTGCTCGTTTCGGAGTGACACTTCCTCGAGCGATCCCCAAACGCTGCTAACTGATGCTGCATGCTATGGCAGTTCTCATTCTCAGTCCCCAATCTTGGCATGACCGGACTGTGGAGTTGCTTTTCGGGGTCGTCATGCCGCCTCCGATGAAACCCATGGATTGCGGATTGAAAGCTTAGAGCGGCAGCATACGCACAGATTGAGTTTAGAGTTCCAGTAAGGACTTTCTTGATCAGCACCCTTGTGACTAAGCGGAATGACGAGACGTACAATAGCAGGAGATAATTAGCCCGATATCCCTAGGGGCTGCAAGTGGTTCTACTGTGATCTTCAACAACGGGACTGTGAACCCAATGGACATATGCCGGTTCAATAAGTCGGTCTACGCGGCAAATCGTCAGCTCAGTCTCCCACCGAAGCTCGATCATTTGATGTGAGAATACGCACAGGTTCTTTGAGATACTTTTGATACACCTTGTCTGTGCCTTCAAAGCCGAATACCACCCCTGCGAGAAGCGCAAAGAAAAAGACGAGGGTCATTGCAATAATAGGAGCAGAGAAGTCCAGTGGCAATCTGTCAAGGACTTCTTCTATCCCACAGATGATAAGCTGGGTCAATAGGAAGAGCACTATGGCGAGGCACCCTTCTCTGATACCCGTCACTGTCTCAGATGGCCATTTGGATAATCGGCCTTTCAGTCTCGTCCAGGTCTCAACGAAGGTCATCGTCGTGGACGTTTCCGGCCGATAGACCAGTGAGACAAGAGGACAGACACTATGAGGAGGTCTCAGGAGTGAAACAAAAAGGTCAACGGGATCAACGGGCCATATATTGTGGCAGAGAAACACGAAGAGACAACATCAGCAGCCGGTGGTCAACTGCTTGTGGGGGCGACCAAACGCATCTATCCCGTCATCATCTGGATTGCTCCAGTCCTCGCGTTTGCGGACCTGCTTACTACTGCGATATCGCGCCGCGTTCAGCTGGTGAGGTCCACATCAACCCCGAATATGTGCTGGCTGGACAGGACATGGCTCTTCTACAACAGCAGAAAGGAATGTTGTTTGTACTCATCTTTCTACCCGAGTGTCTCATCACAAGAGCAAGACATACGGGCGTTTGCCCTTCAGTGGGGCCCCCGCGGTCGCTCATCATAGGCTAGGTGCTGTAAGGAGGTTTGTCGGTGAAAGGGGCCTATTTTGGGCGATGTCTATCATGGTTAGGAGAATCGGACGAGTCATGTAAGTGCCTGCAAAGTCGGGTCAAACAAAACTCGGCCCTGCAATACGTAAAGCATCTGCGTTGGGAAGCCGTAGCGCAACACAGCACAAGAGAAGGGAACAAAACGGCTTCCAGCACCCGATTATAACTCAGGGGCGGGCGAATTCTGTGCACCCATACATTTTGTTAATCGCTGTCTGCCAAACAAAATGACTTTTCGGAGCAGAATCTTGGACAAGTTGTTTGACAGATATCTGACCGTTCAATTTTCAGATTCTCTGAGCTTCAGGCGACATGAAAGGCTCTATTCCGATTTGCTACCCGTAAGCTGGGGAGAGCCGCCAAACCTAGAAACTGGAAACCTGGGGCATAACGGCAATCACTCAGTCATGTTGCGCGAAACCGATGAAGACAAGCATGGCACGATTGGCCCATTATCACCTGCAGCCCTGGGCGTCGGTAGACGGGCGCCATGTCAAATTTGACAGGTCGGCAGAAGCGAGCAAGAGCTTATCTCTGCAAGATACAAGCATGGCTTGCATATGCCTCGCCTCTTTTCTGCCGGATGGCCGGGTTTCTTGCGTCTAGCTAGCGCAGGTCGACCTGGACATCTTGCCCGATCTAGAGTGGGAGAGCCTGAAAAGATTGTTGTAGCGCAAACGAAAACAAGCATGACACAGACTAGAGTCGCAAGTAACCGCGTGCGCCACACCATGCCGGCAACTCTGTGGTCACGGAACCTGTTGTACATGTGGTGATGGACATGCCACTTCCCGCTCCGCAGTCTTCGTTGGCCAGTGAGTCCAAGCCGCTGCGTGATCCAAGCTCGCCCGTTTCACTTCACCGTCTCCTCATCAATTACGTAGCTGCTGCGAGAGGCAACCAGTGGCTCGAACCTTGCTGTTGATGCCTTGGATGTGCGAACTTGATGTTTTGGGTAAGGTGATGAGTCCGTTTCACAAGTGAGCTCGTCGTGCGCGGGCTTGTCACTAGGAGGCGGCGATGTCTTAGGTGTCGCAATAATAGAGCGACCTATGGAGGCTGCACAAGTTGTTTGCGATCCGACTGTACTGGAGGAAATCCCATGATCGTGGGTGTGTCTGTACGGTGGTAGCCAACACATCCCGGACCGACCCGGGGGTTTAATGACGACATGTCTCAATATGCGACGTGGCAGATGACATCCAATTATCGCTGTTAGAAATCTTTCAGATGGGCGACGCTCAGCTCTCCTCTCGTTGTCAGCATCATCCTACCTTGGGCTTTTAGGATAAGGTGGGTTTGCTGAAAAGGGGGCGGCAAGGCATGAAAGTGTTGGAGAGATCGACCTCTTAGGCATGCGACCGTCCTCGACTGCAGCCATTCAACGGGAGATCTTGACAACACAGCATGGGAAGGAAAGACGAGACGAAACTTCCCGAGCACCATTTGGTGTACTCGAAACTCGGTGAATCGTGGCACCTTGTATCTTGCCAATAACGTGCTTCTCTGGTTGACACCAAGGCTGCCCTCATCTGGTCTACTCGGCCGTAGAGAGACAACGAGGAATGACTGGACACAGCTACCTCATTTCTCTGCCACGACATCAGTTTGATATCCAACGGTGTCAGCGATAGTTGGGTGTAGCTTTGAAGCGTGACCCAGCGTTCCCCCATATGATTGATCGCGTTGCTCAGATCTTTGATGTCGAGTATCAACTGTGACCACGTTGCCTCATTGAGTCACGGGATCTCATCTTGACTCGGGAGGGGAAATTCGTCGTACTGTCGACGGAAAGATCTGTCGAGAACCGTGACCCCGATCTCTTCCAATTCCATGGTATCGACGCTAGTTATGTGATGGCACGCACCCATGGGGCGACAGTTGTGCTGGTGGCATTTGTGAACCAAGTTGGGATCAGGCTGCAAGCAACGATAGGGACTGGCAGTCAAGAGATGCCAGCGTGCACGACATACGTTATGGTAAGTAAGTGCAGCCTGCCACTCTACTGAGGTCGCCGCTCCCCTTGTCACCTCTCACCAACATCTGTCCACGAGCATGCCAGTAACGCCATAATTGACAGTGCTCCAAGAGCATTGCAAGATTTGCTTAGAATAGAGCATGGCAGCTGGCCTCACTGGAGACACATCCATCTTCTCTCGGGACTACGTCGTGAATATGCTTGTTGTAGTACAATGAAGTCTGGTGGATTGTAAACAAGGACGTATCATGACTTGAACTGACCTGATTTAATATGTAGCGAGTTGCTTCTCATGAGACTGACTGAGATGCGAATGCGCATTTACTCTCGCCGACCACCTCCTTGGTAGACGATATAAATCTGTCATAATGAGGTTCATGCTGATGTCGTTGCGTGGGCGCCAGCTTAGAAGCCACAGACCAACGTAAATATTAAGGGGGGATATTGTGGTAGACTAGGCCGGCCGTGGTGGATTAGGCATTAACCCACTGAGGCTCAGGGTTGAGCACCCCACCATGCCACCTGTTTCGAGATGCTTAGTCCTGGAGGTCAATCTGGCTCATGTTTTTCTGCCGATTGGCCTGGCCTTCCTGACAAACCCCACCAATCTCAATCTGCTAGAGCTGGCAAGTTTGTTTTGATTCTCAACCAAAGCCAAGCAATAGCGTGGAATCGTCAAGCAAATGCCGGACGGCAATCCCCCCCTGATTGGCTGTTTCAACTTACGTTTGTGACTGTCACGTAACATGGCTGAAGCCGCGATGAACTACGAAGACCTCGTCAAGGTCCTTAGGGCCCACGACATCTCAATCGACAACGCGTCGCTCAAGGCCGCGTGGGACGATGAAACCCAGGGGCGCGTGCTCTCAGAATGGGCAGGCCTTCATCTGGCTCCGGACACGCTACTAAGCGCAGACGAGCTAAACCTGTGAGTCTCATAAATGGCAATGTTCCTGCTACCCTTGCTTACTCGAATGCAGTTACGCTGCGCTTGAGAAAACCGGAAAGGCGGAGAGGCTTGCTGAAACGCAAGCGTACTCATCCACGCTATTCTTTAACGATGATGATATCAAGGCCGCCATCGAGGAGCTAACTCGGTCGACGGAAGCCATCTCAAAGCAGACCGAGGCTCTCCGCCAGCAGCAAGACGCGTTGAAGCGCCTCGTGGGAAGCCATAGCAAGGGCGGCGAGTCCCGCTCAAGCCTCGAGTCCAGGCGGTTGGCAAAGTGGGAGACAGACCGTAAGGCTCTGAGCTCGGCGGTGTGTTTCTTCTCAGATATCGTCTGTTACTTCGGCACTGATTTCACGAACAGGTCGAGAACATGTCTCACGGATTGGAATTCCGGATCTCGGATATTGAGCAGCAGACAAAGGGCCTGGGTGCCGGTCTGCGGCAGACCGTGGATAGCCTCTTTCAATCAGACGACAAGTTACTCTCCAGTCTTCAGAAATTAGGCTGGGAGCTTGAGACAGAAGATCCAGAAGAGCAGGAGAGTATCCAAAAGCTACGAGACATCTGCGCCAGATTGATCAAGTACACGGTTGAGGCGATCCGGACAAAGCTGGACCGGGTCTACCTTGAGACTTTGGAATCATCAAAGCGCACCGGGGATCGCCCTCAAGTGTCCAAAGATGATTTGGTGCTGTTACAAGAGGAAGTCGAGTCACTCTACTCCGAGATTCTCCCTGTTGCCCAGATGTCGGTGGAGCAGCAATATCTCGAGCCGGCGCTCAAGTCCCTAGCAGCGAAGAATGGCGATAGCCAGTCACGCTCGGCTGCAGCGGTCACATATGTTGGTGCCACAGCTCTCTACTGCTAATAATGACTAATTCGCCCTAGATTCATTCCTGCTTCGACTATCTGCTTGAGCACATTGAGATGCTGTCCGCTAGGATCGAGGCTTTCAAGGGCCACCAGGCTGCAACCAGCACGGTTTTGGCCACAGCGAGAGCCGAAGTGTCGGCGACCATCCAGTCCCCCTCAAAAAGCCGACGTCGGCCGACAGTCACCGCGTCTCCCACTAGGCGGCGGAAGTCATCGGGTCACGGGGGTTCACCCGTGAGGATGCGCACCCTGTCCACATCACGGAGGCGCTCCTCCGGAGGGTTGGACGAGTCGCCACTCGAGCAGCTCCTGCGCGGACTAGCTCTGAGTCTGCCCCAGACAGAGGATGGCACAGCATCCGCGACTCTTGACAAGGAGCAGTTGACGTTCCTCTCGAGGACGCTGGGCGAGCGGTCGGACAAGGCAGCTGACGTCGCGCGCAACGTGCAGGAGGCCTTTGAGAGCGCGGTCACCTCGCAGCTGTCTGACGCACGTCAGGCCCTCCAGGCAGTGCGGGACTCGGTGCTCGCAGAGAGCCCGTTTGGAGAGGTCACACTGGTCGACCCGGAGATTGACGGTTCCATTGTAGTCCTCGCACAAGAGGTGCAGCGCGTCCAGAGCGAGCTGCAGGGTGTGGAGAAGGACATGGTCGCCGTGAAGAAACGAAACGCAAAGAAGGATGAGCTCATCAATCGATGGGGCCGTTAGCAATGTCTCGGGAAATGGTCGGTGGAACGGGCCAGCGGTTGAAGCGTTGCACTCATCCGGCAGATGCTACAGTGACACCTCTGTCACAGCATATTAGAGTGCTCCTGCTCGGCTACGATTGCTAGCTGGTCAATCCCACATACCGTACGATAAGGCTTTAGACAGGATGAAAATCGTGAGAAGTTTGACATGACAGATCTCTCTGGATTTCTGCTTCAGAGGTGTGCCACAATATCAACACATCCGAGGCATCATGGGCCCAGATCTCCAATTCACGTGCCACAAGATGAGGGGGAAAATAATACAGATCACTGGATTGCAAAGGGACCTGCAGATATCCAGTCAATATTTTGGCAATTGTTCGAATGCAACGCGGTGTGTGCTTGATTGCTTTGAGGTAATCAACAAGACTGAGGAGGCATGTATCTTGTATCTTTGTCTCATCACCTATTAGCCAATGTCACTGGAGGTGGCTGAGGACCTCCGCCATGTGCTATAGACAGATCGAAATAGCCTATGAAATGGCCTGCACCCCATGTTCCCCTGCTTTTCTTGATTTCCGGTGTGCTGTAGCAGGAATACGAACACATCATGGCCACCACCATTACTTGGCGCTATTGCTGGTAGACCACCCCGCCATTGGCCAGCGTCTTACGAAGTTCAATGCTAGCATCGTGTTGGGTAGATTCGTAGATAATACGAAGCATGGCTGTCGGCTTGATCTACGGCGTGCTCTTCTAGCAATGCAATGCACAATTCTCAAGATGATAAACCCGCAACATGCGGTGTGCCACCACCATAGGCTGTCTAGTGCTGCGATAATCATTCTGGCGTTCAAGGTATGGCTGCGCTCTCATTATCCACGAGGAACTGTATTGCGTCAGCGAAGAGCTGGCTGCGTTTCAGCTATATCCTGTTTAACCTCTGCGCCCTTACGTGCATTCTGGTTCTGATGACAGCCGGGACTCGACTAAGCGGTCCTGGACACCCGGATCTACTAAAATTGAACTACTATGATCTTTCTCTGGTGTCAGTGCGTTGCTCTATCCTCATCTCTGATCCAGAACAGAAGCCTAACACTGTTCAGTTTGATGGGCCGGTCTGGTACTCGTACGTCGATGGTGGCGGAGAGCTCGAGTCTCGCAGCTACTTCTTCCTCAACTCATTTGGCTGGTCCATGCTATACGACGAGGAGAGTCCCGGTGCGGGCTTCATCTATCGACATCCCGGGGAAACGCTCCGATTCCCACAGATCATCGACGCTCTCAACAGCTCGTTGTTCCCCATCGATTCTAGAGACGCGTTTCTCGGCTGCGGCAGTGATTGCCCTTTGAGCATCCCACAAGGCTTGAGAGACGCGTTTGCACAGCACCCCATCACCATGCAGACAGCGCCGGTATTTGCCTTCTATCTCATCGTTCTCCTTCTGATCATCTTCATGATTCTTTTTGAATGGACCATCCTTGATGACAAGAGAAAGAAGATGCGTTGGCGCTTGAGCATGGCCACTGTCGCCGTTGTTAGCCATCTGATCGCAGCAAGCGTGATCACGGGCGAAACAAGACGGTTCATCTCTTATCTTCGATCGTTCTATGGCACGGACATAGGGGTAGGAAGAGTCGACATGAATCCTGCAAGAGGCAAGCATGTTCTTCTGGTCACATGGCGCTGGCAGGCCTGAGCATCCTTGCAAGGACATATCTGGGCTGCAGGCTAGAGAGATGGCGCTCTGCAGGCCAAGAGATAGTGCTGGCGTCAGACCCGCAAACTCACCGGGTCTCTGACTCTGCATCAGAAGCACTGCCAGAATACACACCTCAGGATTCGATGCCAAGAGGTGAAGTCAAAGAAGTGCCCCACATTATGGGTAATGTGCCTCCTTACGAGGAAAGAGGCTCGCCCCTTGCTTGCTTCCTCTTCCCAAATGTAACAGCGAATGAAATCGGTCACCTGGTAGCATAGTCAGACGCACAAGGATAACTTATAATTCAAAGTGCAAATGAATGTAAGTTTAGGTTGAAAAGTGCTAGACTATCTAAGGTCATATTCTAGGACTCTGTCCGCTTGGTCAAGCGAGTTAGTATTTGAAGACTAATGAGTGCAATAAAGTGTAAACTTTTGCCGACGAATCTCCAGTGAGTACACGTCTACGCGTCCCATGATTTGCCCCAAAACCTTCCCATCACGAGCTACGTTGTTCTGCTTGCTTGAGAGGTTCAAATTTAGGCGTTCTTCAAATCTACCTAAGTCCAGCATTGGTCAGACCCGGGACCCGGCTGGCATTGAACTCTGCCTCCGTTGCAGGACCAGCAGCCATATCCATCAGAGCACTGGCATTGACCGACGACGCAGTCTGAATGAGGCGGAAAGTTCTCGCCACATCGGCTTTCGAGTCCCCGTTCAAAGAATTGCCGCTATTAGGAGGGGTAGATTGTAAGTCTTTGTATATCCAAAGTAAATACGGAGAGAACTTGGCTTACAGTGGCCATGCCCTCAAAAGTATTGCCGCCAATGGTGACAACCTCACTCACGGGCCCATTCTCCGCTGGGGCGGCTGAGACACTGGCAATGGCTGCCAGAATAGTGCCGACAATGATCGAAGACTTCATCATGTAGAGGCTGCAGTCAAGCTGAGAGTATTTTGGTTGAGTTTTAGAAGCGTTGGGTGGATGAGTCTTCTTTTGAATTTTCTCAACCAGAGGAGATCTTGTCCCAATTTATAGGCCCCAAACGGGGTAGGATTGAAACTCATGACACAATCAAAGGACTGCTTTCCGTATTCTGCTCGTTTTGGTCGAATTAGTTTTGATCCAGAATTGAGGCGGGCGGATTCTGTGCTATGACCGTGGTAACATCGTGACAACGAAGGATCAGGAGCGGTTCGTCACATAACTTGTCCCAGTTATCTTGCTTCAAAATAATCGCCACATTAGACTTCCGAGGCGTTGCTAATTCTAAATTGCAGGAGTGTTGCAACATGGATATACCCAAACGCGCTGTCGAGTCACATATCATATGCTAAGGCTCAGACGACGGACAGACATACTATAAAAACATTCTGAGTTTCCGATCGATCAGATCCCCACTTTTTGTTTGTTGTCAGTGATTCTTGCAAACTGTTGATTCCATACGTGAGTGAATTTATGGCCCGCAACATGCAAGGAGCTAACCCACTTGATCATTGATGCAGTGGGTAATACGGTCTTTACAGTGTATCATATTTAAGTGCCAAACACAAAATAGGCTCCCCCGACTTTGAGACAGGACTCTGGATATGCGGTCGGGTCGAAGCATGAAGAGTCCGCGAATGGAATTGACTGTACGGAGGACCACGGTGAAGCTTTTGAATTGTACAACTCTAAAAGGTCTAGATAGTACAGAAATGTCGGGTGAGATTGCTATTAGTGGGCTTTGAACACTCCGCGGGTCTTACTTGGGGGCAGATGTTGTGCTCGCTTTGCGCCTCGCGATAACTGCTCCGTTTAACTCCACTATGAACCCGATCCGACACAGAACACTACTGCTCAGCATTATTATTACAAGATCCTCCATAAGCGTGAATACTATTAATATTGTTAGGCTGACCGCTTCGAATTACATGTTTTGGGTGACAAGATCGTCCTGTACGTCTTCAGGGGAATCACGTGATGGACCGGGAATTTCGGCGGTGAAGCCAAAGTAACCTCCGACCATTCCGCGTCATCCACATCATTGTCGTAGTGCTCCAACCACTTCCACATTGACATTCTACATTGAAATTCAATTCGTACGTGTCACTGCTGTGTTCAGGATCATGGAGCTTTTGATTGCTAAGTCAGAGGATTGGAGACCTTAGGGTCAGAGTTCGGCTGAGCCCCGAGAATGGACCCACCTTCAGGTCTCCGTATCAAGAGGAAGCCGGTGCCCGGGGCCGGCCAGCCTACCCGGCCTGCGCTAGACGACCGACAATCCACGGGCGCGGCATTTCTTTCCTTGCAAACAGACATTGGTCTTTCCAGGAAAGCAAGCCAACTTAGTCTAAATGCGGAGACTCGTCTTCGTGCTGATGTGTACGAAGATGAAGTCCCTCCACAGATCCCCCCGCGACGTTATGATAGCATGACCCTAGTCTCCAGTCCTGATAACATGTCGACGTTCTCCTCTGAAACTACGCAAGACAGCCTTACGTCAATATCTAATTCCATCGTCGGCACTCCTATAACACCAACTTCCACTACAAAAGAGAAGTCCATGTGGAAGACCGCCCTGTCAGAAACAAGGCACTTCGCTGGCGGACTTATATCACATCCACACGTGTCGACAAAACATTACACCATTCTACGTCACTCTCCAAGCTTAGTGCTTTACCGTGGTCCAACTACGAGCGTAGTAATTACTTTATTTTCTTCTACCAAGCTTGATGTCCCAATCCCTCGGGACCGGACAATTTGGCTCCAACAGCGGGGCTTCTCTGGCGATACGGGAATGAAGCTCAAAAGTCTTGTTGGGGCGAGCAGTAGTTGGCTGGATGTCACACCAGTGATGCAGGCCATGCCGCAAGACATGAGCGAGGCTGACGAAAGAGGGTGGCAGCGAGACATTGGGAAATTCCTAAAACGTGCAGCGAAGGAGAAGGCTATATCATCACACTTGCCAAGAGAAACGCATGTCATTCGAATCCCAGCTGCTGCTCAGGATGGGTATTTCCGCCTAGTTCTCTGCACAGGGGGAACAAGTATGCCGGGCACAGAGGGCAGTGGCACCAAAACTACGCGGCGGAAGGCACTCTGCACAAGCCCTATTTTTAGAATCGCAAGCACGTCTACCGACTCTAGTGTTTTGCGTGGTGCAAGTCTGCGTACCTTACCCCTCGAACTTGGGGTGAAGGTTGCTTCCACGATTGGCAGTACCGCGGTAATGAATATTATCTCGCCTGTGGTTTCGCCAGTCACAGAAACGATACAAAATCAGATTCATAAATACCATCCCGGGTTCGTCGCTCAACAGGCTGGAATGAGTGC